CTTGTTTTGTAGTTTATGTACTAGAAAAGTCTCTTTAACTTCAACTGCTACAACGCTCAGTCTGTTTTGTGCTGATGAGGAAATTTTCTTCTGAAACCGTCAACTCATATATTTTGAAGCTCTCAGTAATCACTTCCTTCTTAGTATGCTGGACTCATGAAAACATTCACTGCCTCCTGGAAATCGAACGTTTGCTCGTCTGCTGCTGGCTTTTGTCCATGGGTAGCTTTCTAACTGCGTTTAATAGCTTAGTGATTTAAAAAAGTCAGCGGAGACTTAGTAGAACTAAATGCTTTGAACAGCCAAAGTGTTAGTGGCTTATCTATACGCAACCGGTATAAGTCCAGTGCACACTTGTCGCACTTGTAACATTGAATCCCAACATAAGCCAGAAAACAGCATGTGGGCCTGCCACAACAACGTTTCACTCGCGCCAGTGAATTCGTCAGATAGGCTCACAGATGGGACAACACAAAAAATCCTTTCACGTGAGGAAAAGAGAACAAAAAATTAATTTATGGTAGGATTGTTCTAAAATCTATAAAAGCGATGGACACTAAACACAAAATATCAAGATTTTCATGTGACTGAAAATCCAACTTAAATACATGTGAAAAAGCCTTAAAACAAAAGTCTTGCTCAGTTTTTTTCAAATGGAGCCTCAAGACTATATTAAGCAATACGCTTTTGGAAAATTAGGATTACCTTTCAGTGACGCAGACTCAGTTACAGAATAAGCAAAGTTTCGGTATTTCTGCGGTAAAATCTTCAAAGAAACCTCGTTCTTAAGTGTTTTCAAATTGTTAAAGTTCAGAGCAAAACGATCGTCAAACCACTGGCTGGTAAGACAAAGTTCTCCACAGAATTAAAGGTGTGTTACACGAATGCTCTCAGTCTACCAAATAAAATGGCGTAGCCCGAAACATTGGTGGATATAGAAAAACCGGATGTTATTGCTGTCTAAGAAATATAGTTAACGTCAGACGCGTTCGATAATGAATTTCGGGTGATAGGTTTTTTATCGGGTAGAGCTAATAGAATAAACCATGGGGGGATTATTCTGAACACAAAAAGTACTTTAACCGTACTTGTAGTTGAGAAAGTGGTAAATGATTCATGAAAATGTGAACTGGTGCGTTTCAGGCTGGAGTGTCGACGGCAAGATATCGAATCAGGCGAGTGATCACTGAAGACGCAGATGCATGCGCATTTCAGGCAGGCTTAAACAATGTGATTAACTGATGTAAATGATGGCTGTTTACAACCAAACTGATTGTTCCCTGTGTAAGAAGGAATGCAATGCGATGAGTGTAAAAGTGGTTCCATAAGATGTATACCCGTTTGAATCCCACCGCATACAAAAGATGCTCTAAGCCTAACTCTTATTTGGTTTTGCATGTTTTGCTGTTCAAATAAGACATTACTAATCCAAGAGGCTATGGGCCAAGTAGCTTTGGCCTGTAGGAAGAAAGATGATGGTTGCGCTGGTACTGATGGCGAAGATTGCGTCAGTGTTGTAAGTGCTGTCACGGCAACTGCCAGACACCCAACTGTGCAACACGCAATAAGGCTTTCAACCCCGAAGCAATTAGCCAGCGGCATGCCATTAGATATTGGTGGCCAAGCTGCAATATCAGTGACTGATGATCCTGATAAAACCACTACTGTTCCTAGTAGTTTCAATGTTAATGTTGCGACTGATGGAAAATGCATGATGCGAAAACGTAAAAGAGTAGTAATGATAGCCAAAACTACTCCACCAAGCTACCAAAGCAAGACTTCATCAAACGTTGTTGTGGGACATTTGCCCGACTCTCATAATTCCGTTACAAAGAAAAATGACGGTAAGATGCTACCAGTCAATATGCAAGATCTGACGTAACGGTCGATAGCCGTGAACACGATTTTCAGGGAACTTAAACCATCCCTAGTTTAATTATTTGGAATCTAGGGGAGTCGAAAAATAATGATCCTGCTAAAAGAAATGCACACGATCTGCAGTTAGTGGAATATGCAGTCAGAAATGTACTGTCTGAAGAGGTTTCAGGGACTCATATCACGAAGGAAATACAACTCGGTAAATGGGTCGGAGATGAGACTCAACCGAGAAGGATCTTGACGTTTGTATTCGAGAATTTTGAGGAAAGCAAGATAATATTGAACAACGCACGCAAAACTCGCGATTCAAATATTCGTATCTGACCAGACTGGCCTCTTGAGGATCGAATCAAGCGGGAGAGTGCTCTTACGGAGTTGTACTGTACTTTGGGTTTAGGACATATGGTATACAATTTGTATCTGCTCCTCCACGTCTCAATATCTGGCGAGCCAATATTCCGGCAATCTGGGACTACGCTATGTCAACTGACTGGTCGGATGGGTCGATAGAAGACGAATGGAATAAGTTTAAGGCCACATTCGAGTTCACAACATCATTGTTTATCCCATGGTTACCATGTAAGCTTGCATATTGCACACCATGGATTAACAAGGAAACCTGCAAGCTATTGAAGCGTAGGAAACACTTCTGGGACTTATTGTTGTCAACAGGACACGCATCATTTAAGTGTGAATATAAACAAATCCGGAATATATGTAAAAAGACCATAGCTCAATCCCGCACTATTTACGAACGACAGTTGGCGTATGATAGCCGTAATTTTCTGAAACGATTGTTTTCATATGTTAAACGGCGAACAAAACATAGTGATGGTATTCCTTTATTACTGTTACAGGAAAATTCGGATTTACTAGCTGAATCGGACTGTCTGTCTGTCTGTCGATGTGATACTCATGGATTTTAGCAAAGCACTTGACAAAGTTTCACACTTAGGTCTTATGAAAAGCTCTTGAGCTTCGGAATAACAGGTGCTGTACAGGAATGGATAGGAAGCTTCTTATGTGTCCGCAGATAGAGAGTGAGGGTCAATGGAACGCTATCCGAATGGAAGCCGGTCAAAAGTGATGCACCCCAAGGCACCAACTTAGGCACTCTACTTTTCCTTCTCTACGTTAACGAATTACCGCTCTTGCTTAAGTCATCGATATTCTTGTTTGAGGATGATATAAAAATCGGCAGAACAATACGAAGTGAGGCTGATCGTTTGGATCTTCAAGCTGACTTAGACGAATTAATTAGATGGGCTCGAGGTTGGTCCTGGAAATTAATTTTAGGAAGTGTGTTCATGCAGTAATAGTTATAATTATACTGTTGATGGTAAATCTCTTCCACGCGTTCAAGAACATCAAGACTTAGGAGTAATAATAAGTCATGACTTGAAAACGACTGCGCATTGCAACGCAGCTGCTGTCAAAGGTTTTCGTGCGTTATGGTCACTTCGCCGAGCATTCAAGTGCTTTGACAAGGAAATGTTTCGAATTTCATACCCCTCCTATGTAAGAACACACTTAGAGTACTGTATTCAAGCAGCTAGCCCATGTCTGATAAAGGATACTAAACCACGTGAACGTGTTCAGCGTGTGGGAACAAAATTAGTGAAGGGTCTTTCTAAACTCCCTTATGATGAGCGCTTAAAACGCCAAAACCTTTCCCCCTTGTCGTACCGTAGGATACGAGGTGACTTATACTGGCATTTCGTATCTTTAACTATGACTTGGATGTTAATATGTCTTATTTGTTTTCTTCCTCCAGCATTTATAACCTACGAGGTCATAGCAAGAAGGTTCACAAACCGCGATCTAACAAACCTAAAGTGGGGTATCGTCTTTCTCATCGAGTAGTCAATGATTGGAACGCTTTACCCGAACAAGTGGTATCAGCTCCATCAGTGAATATTTTCATGAAGAAGCTGGACCTTCACTAGAAGGTAATCTGCCAGAATTAACGCAGGTTCACCAACCTACTATCTTTATTACTGAAGACTGAATGTGAAATTATTCGCGTCCACCTCTGATAGATTGGCTTAGTTCATATCTGAAATATCGACATTTTAGGGCTAGGGTAAACTTCAATTTATCACAGGCAATGGAATGTACTACTAGGGTCCCCCGGGGCTCAGTACTAGGACCTCTTTTCTTCTTGATTTATATAAATGATCTTCCTAAACAGGTATCGTCAGACATTACTTTTTGCCAATGACATGAATCTTTGGAGAGAGATACGCAACCAAGAGAATATACAGGCACTTCAGGAGGATCAGACTCGACTTCAAAGTTGAGCAGACGATTACGGACTTGCCTTTAACACTTCGAAGTGTAAAGTAGTCCATCTGCGACATGTCGCAGACTACAGTTACAACTTAGGAAACTCCTCTCTAGTAGTATCCCGAGTCGAAAAAGATTTAGGAGTTCTGGTGCCCTACGACTTAAAGTCTTACGCCAACAAACCTTTCACTAGTAACATTGAAGCGCATTTTTGGTCAGTTGGACAGGAGAACTTTCTACACAATCTCCAACAGTTTTATTCGTCCCCATTTAGAGTAAGGAAACATAGTATTTCCTCCCTCACTCCAAAATGATAGGGACACTGGAGCGTATCCAACGACGAGCCCCGAAATAAGTTCGGGGACTCAAATTTAAACCTTATGAAGAGCGCTTCCAATCACTTGACCTTTACCCATTAGAGTATAGGCGTCTTAGAGGTGGCCTTCTAATCGCTTACAGTATCCTTTACACTTCTGGATATCCTCTTAAACACTTACTTAAGCTTAGTCCCAATACTAACCTAAAGGGTAACAACCAGAAATTAGAGATACAACATAGTAGAACGGACTGAAGGCACAACTTCTACTCCTTAAGAGTTGCCAAAAGCTGGAGTTCGCTGCCGGCTGAACTAGTCCAACCAACTTCCCAGGAGTCCTTTAAGAGGCGACTTGATCTATTCCTAAGGACTAACGATAGTATCTTACTATGATTTGCCAATATCTTTTTTTTCTATTTCATCAATAATATACCTATGTTCCTGCATGGAGATATTGGTGATCCCTTGCTACCAGACACGCAAGCCTGTTAAGCGAAAGCTTCTACTCCGTCCACAACCATTTGAACCATTTGACCTAGATGAGCGCGTTTTCTGTATCCTTTCGGTGCTAGTCATGCAAGTTTACATTCGTTCGTTATTTAGACTTAAGGGATGAGGATAAGCCTATTAAACTCAATACGATTCCCGTTACACTTCTTAAACGAAGAAAAAGGGTTAGCCGGGATATAATCAAACAGCAGCGCCTGCGTTCTGAGGAGTTACGCAAACGTGCCCGAAAACGCAGAAGTCTTATCCAACCTCCGATCCGTTTTATAAAAGTGAGGATAATTTTGTGAAACCACAAACCCACAGACGGGTCTCAGGCGGTCGTACGATGAGTTACGTTTGCAGCGGATCGCTAAACGCAAATCTCCGTTTTCAACAACTGATCAACCAAGACTGGGTGTTGTAATCCGGTTAAAGGACGATGAAGAGCAACTCGCGGATGTTTGTAAAGATGTGTTCAGATTACTTCGTCTTGACACCCACAATCAAGCTGTTTTCATCAAAATTACAAAGGTCTTAATAGTTATGATCTTGTTATTTTTAGGCTACTCTTAGTCTGTTGAATATTGTTTCGCCTTATGTGGTATGGGGTTATCCGTCCCTGCAAGTGGTACGCGATATGGTTATGAAGCGTGGGCGTACTATGCTTGGTAGACACAAACATTCAATCGACAACAAAGTAATTGAAGAGAAACTAGGTAGGTTTTTGTTCTGGTTTCAGTTGTAATGATTTTTTGCGATCAACTTCACAATGTACTCATACATAACTAAATAACCGTGTGTTTATCTAAGTTTCAGATCAGAGCTTCAAAATGTAATACACGATTTCGGAAATCCAAACTCACTTTTATAAATTGTAGTGAACTTAAGTGTTAATTGGTTACCGGAATTGTTTATTACAAATTTCGACATTTAGGGCATTGGTTCTATCGGAATATATTTTTCTAAGTGTTTTGAACAACTGGAGATTTGGAATGAGTTAGTTTTATTAGATTTATACACTACGAGGTTTCCCAAGTACTGTCACATCAGTCTTAGGTAACAAGTTTAGGAGCTCAATAGACCGATATTAATCTTTTCAATTTCTAGCATTGTGAAGATCCAATATAGCTTTAGAAGTACCTACAGAAGGTAATGATATTACGTGCTCCGACAGGGAATTCCAGTAATTCACTACACGGTGCGAGAAACGGATCTTTAGTCGTAAACTATTTGATATCGGTTCTTAAACAGTTTTGAAATGTACTTTCAGATGATTAGTTCTAGATGTAGGGAAAAGATAAAACAATAAAACCAAGGTCATCGTTCAGTCTACGGCTATCCAGCATTAAATCACTCCGTAGCCTGCGGTAAATAACGGAAATAGGTGGAGGCGTCTGTCTGTCTTCATAAGGTAAGCCAGTACGACCTCTCACCATTCTGATCTGGTCATTAGACTCGTTCTAACATATCCGCCTCGTACTTGAAATAAGGACTCACCGCTTGAATCCCTTATTTCAAATACGACCTCACAAAAGTCGGACTGAGGATTGTATTTTGATGACATCCACTTTCCACAGATTCCCACATTGATAGAGCTTCATTTACACATACCCGTTGTCTCCTATCATTGAGAAAGTCATTTATCCAATCTATGATTAGATAATGGGTTCCAAACCCGGGTAAGGGACCTTGTCAAAAGTTTTACTTTAATCCATGAAAATTATGTCTACTGGAATATTACTATCTCTCGCTGCAGCCCAATCTTCTCTTGTAGTGATATTTGTTGAGCATGAAGGACCTTTTCTGAAACCATGTTGCTCTCTGGCTAGAAGATTATCAAAACGAAATGGGAATCTTCAATATTCTAAAAGACTATTCCCTCCCACATAGTTTGGGACAGCCATCGGAATAATCGCTCCCATTAGTTTGACGGCTACACCAAGTTAGCCGTGCCAAAGTTAAACGTATAGCTCTAGTTAAAGATTGGTGCGCATTTCGACTTCGCAGATGACCTAGCCCTTTCTATCATGTACACAGCAATGAATGTAGGTAGACATCATTTAGCAGCAGCCTCTGCAGCAATATGACTCAACGTTCACAAGAAAAAATGCGAGATCCTAAAATACGGCACAACCAGCACCAGCATCTGGTGGTCAAGCCAATTCGTGGCATCGGTCCTTGGTATTCGGATAGTTACTAAGTACAGAGAATCTATTTGTGTTTCGTGGGATTTTCCTAACCAGTAATTTTACAATTTGAGGGATGCGGCTCAAATCCATTCACCCTTTACTCTCTCCTCGGTCCTACATTTACAAATTACTCTGTAATTTGTTTGACTCTATGAATCCAATTTTTATCAAACCGCATCGTTTATGCATAGTCTTTTACTACCGTTAATACTGTAACTGCTAATAGTACTCTGATATCCCACTATACACGTGTCGTGTAGCAACTTAAAGTGATGCATATGTGCGCTAGGTTCTGCTTCGTTTATGACTGGTAGACATCTTAGTAATGGTCTCGTATTATGTGATCGCTGAATAAAGGCGTTATCCTTTATACTCTTAGTATCTTTCGTTTGACTCATTTTCTTTTGACAATAGTATCCCTTTTTGTGCTAATTTGAAGTGCCACAATAGGCTGATACATTTCATACTGTCTTTTTTCATGCCTGCTTGTCCATATAAGTTGAGAACGTGTTATATATTAGTTTAATTAACTTCAGATATTTATATTCCGAAAACTATCAATAGTTTTCCAAGTTACTTCATACAAAAATTGATAATCTTGTGGATAAACTTATCCAAATTTATCACTTTGAAATCATTATTCTATTTGTTTTTCAAAGGTCACTGTGGGATTTTGTGTATAGAAGACATTATCCACGAACTCGTAACTGTTGGTCCAAACTTTATGGCGGTTCAGCGCTTTTTATGTCCATTCAAACTTATGTCATCCAGTCGTGATTGGATGTCAGGCTCACGGCGCTGTCACGCTCGTGTTGATTCTCTAACAGGGTTTCGAGAAGAACAATTAAATGAAATGATTCGTAGAATGATATGATTGTGTAAATAAAGAATGTATAGGTATTATCCGCGATTATTACTTTTCTGCATATATTATATGAGTATACAAAAATCTGTCTTGTCTCAAAATTTCTGTAACTGTGCTACTCTTTTTGGTTACTGATAAAAGTTTTTCACATGGAAGGATTATTTCTATTGTCATGTCAGTCGATTCGCAGTATTACCTTTGTATTTATTGATCTTGCGACCATTTACATCTTAAATGAACTTAGTGGACCATTCAAAAGTCGAGAAGCCCTTTATATTTTTATAAACATTGGCAGCGAGCATTAACTTGTCTTTGTCTACAAAAGGAAGTATGTACTGGTCGAAGACTACATAATAATGTGTTTTTCAAAACACTACAATAATTTACAATAACGAGTATTATTTAATTTACAGTCACAAACAATTTAGATTTTCATGCATTCGGAAACTAAGTCCTCAGTATTATTGTATTATGAAGTGTCAGTTCTTTTAGATATATCGCTTCTGTCAGTCAGTCAGTAACAACGTGGAACTTCGTACGTACGTACATCAGTTCGAGTTGCCATACCGCATTAGCACAGAGATTCACTTATAGATTCAAATTCCATAGTGGTAGAGGTACTAAAAGTATAATTAGTGATAAGGAACATCAGGGTTTGAAGATGTTATTCAAGGAGTATAATCCAGTGGAATAGAAAATAAAAGACATGAAGAATACAGAAGATTAGAGTTTGAGAGAACACAGAGAGTGGATGCACCTGTGCCATTGCAAACGATTTTGAGCCATATCGCTTCTATACGTCACATACTTTGCGAACACTCGTGCGTTCTGCGTCACTTTGAGTTATATCGTTAGTTTCTGTGAGGAATGAAACTTTTCCATCACATTTTACGGTGTAGAAGTAAATATGTGGTAAGACTGCCTATTCACTTTTTCTCCAGTGTCGCTGATACTATCATTTAGGAGAACTATTTTGGCATACCATGAACACTTTGTTTTCTTCATCCTTATCTCCAATAAGCTGTGGGCGCGCCTTCCATGTTTGTAAATATCCTCCCGTTATGTGGTAGGTTTTCTCAACCTCAATGGTGTGTTAAATACGTGATCGGTCTTCCTGTTGATTCCTGGTAACTTCAAGTAATTTCAAAGTGTGCGTCAGATAGGGCTAGGATATCTGTTTCGTTAAGTTCACGGCTTTGTATTGTTTGTTTAAATTCCATTAGTGTGCAAAGTGTGGTCAAAGCATTCTGTGTCTCATTGATTAAATGTGTGTGTAGACCTTCAATGGGATCTGTTGCAGTTTGGTTAGAATTGTCTAAATACTCATCAAAAAATTGCACATTTGTTATTGTATATTCTTTCCACATTACGGAGGGTTGTTGTAACTGTATACATAGTTTGAACAACCGTTTCCTTGATTTAACTGTTTCGAAAGTTGGAGGGAGTGTTATTCTAACTTGAGTACATGCACCAGAGGAAGTGTGAATATCTTTCATCATCTGAATTTTGAAGAGATTAACCCAGACGGGTTCTGTAGAAGCCTAGAAAACAAACGTATTATATGTATGGGTGGGGATTACCGTGTCTTGGTAACATAGATGTGCAGAAGCGCTTTTAGCGTAAAAGTTGGTAAAGTGTATTTCTTTGAGGAATGTTGGTACGCTGCAGTCGAAATGGTATTCCTTAATCAAGCATCCTCGCACGTTGTCATTTCGAGTTGATAGTCTGAAGCCGGACGTTTGTTCTTTTATTATTTCAATTGTAGACATGGTGTATTTATCCTCAACCAGGTAATACCGATATAAATCTGAAATGTAAACAAAGTAGGGTTTTATCAGAAGTTGTTGCATTTAACATCCATAATACTAATTCCAAAACTTGTTTCAGTACTACTGGCTTGTGGAGTCTCAACAGTTCCTTGTCGGTACTAGCGAAATCGATTTGCATGTAAGACAGCTTTCTGTTCAATATTTACCTGGAAATTCTTTTCCGCAGTATCTATGCAGGAAGCAATATATAGCCAATCTTCACGTCGTTTAAAATTGTTAGCACTAACTATAATTTCAAAAACCGTGTCTAACTCTTAATTTGTCTATGGTTTTCTATCAATTCCACGATTTATAGTGCTAAACATAAAACAGTTCATGGTATCGTAGCGAGTATTTCCTGTCTGCTGTTCAAAAGAGTTGGGGATTGTTGAGGACAGATGTATCTAGCCAACATGAAGTGCATAAATATAAAGTCCTCTGTTTTTGACTTCAACATGTTAGCCTACACGTACAGTAAACCTAAAGTTAGAGTATTCGATTGTATGCAGACAGTCACATCTTCATACTTTTGTTTAGGTGGAACCACTCATCTGAATGACAACATAGCTGGTTATTTACAATGTATTACTTAAAGCTAGTTCAGTGCCGCGTAGCATATCAATATTTGAGTTGACAAGTTGAAATATGGGGTTGTTCATACGTGTTAAATTGTGACCCTTACGAGAGAAAAAAGAACACTGCGACGTAAGAAACATAAGATACAATTAACAATTTATGATTGCCTGGTCCACTAATTTAAAATTATACTAACTACTTGGGAGGAAATCATTGATAAATTCGAAATTCATACCTTAAACCTGGACAAAGCACCTTCAAGGCTACTCCAAGAAGGTTGGTAGGATGATCGAATTGACTAGTAGTGGGATTGCGTTTTTCCAAATAGGTGACAAACGAATAGTACGTCCTACCTGATTAAGTAGCATCAGCCTAATTGGTGAACATCCTCAAATACAAGTTGGACCACGATTGGAAAACAGGGTGTGAAGGTTAGCACAGCCAAACAACCTACTCTCCTTATTAATGAGTAACTAACCAGGATTTTTGAAGCCTATCTTTGTATCGCTTTTAAATTTGTATATCTAAGTACGTTCTAATAACTATTGTCATGTAATTAACCACAGTTGTGTCAACAACTAATCGACATTTACGTTTTCGCAATTGTTTAAGTGATTAATTGAAGATTATATATATATATATATATATATATATATATATATATATATATAGGTTTTTTAAAAATACAAAAGCTTAACCCCCAAAATAAAAGCGAACTACAGCTGTCAGTTATACAGGTCGACTAAACTAAACTTGTGGATTATTATTAATATTCCATAAATCTACAGATTTGCTTTTACACGTTAAAACTTAGTTTTCACGTGTATAAGTAAAACATTTCACGTGACTTCAGTTTGTGTCTGGTTTGAATTTTAAATAGAAATCCACATTTTGAAAAATTTAACTTTTCACACATACGATATAAGAAGTTGTCCAAATGATAGCTATAACTCACACAGCTGAAGTTTGAGTAACAATGGCTGGTGTCTTATTCATCGCGCTGGATATTGCTATTAGTAACGAGATGCTCTTCGTTCATTAAAAGTAATGAATTCGGTCACTTCAGTTCATGTTCACTACAAAAAAATGTCTGTTAAAAATGTATATAGATGACCCTAAACTATGTTTTAATCATTTCGTGAACACTTTTGGCTATGGAACGATTTACAATAAAAACGTTATGCTGTTATGAACAGTAGTATGTATAAACATGAATAGATAACTTCTGTTAGTGAACAAGTGGGGTTTTCGCCACGTACTTATGCATGATGTGGTAAGAACTGAGCAGCGAAATTCAATCGGTTCATTCACATAATATACTTTAGTCGAATATTCTCATCATGATGATTTCATGACTTTTCGAATAATATATTTTCCAATGTGTAATGAAAAAGTGATTCAGTATTTGTACAAAATCTGAACCAGAGTTTCCCTGAAAAGTATTCAATATGTTGGTAACTTGTTGATATGTAAATTCGACAGTGCCGGAGACGTAAAGGAAATTGCTGACATGTCTGTTAATCCATAATCAGAACAATAATGTGGTCAACCATTTCATGTTTGCACAAATCACAATGTCCAGTAGTCTAGTGGCATTTCGTGCGTCACATATCGTATGTGATATTGTAGTGTATTGAAAAGAATGGGATCGCAGCATAACTTGGTATATCTGAGGACCATATATTAAATAATTTATTTCCAAAATATCTGTCAGTTGTTTCTGACTTCAGTGGTCCTTCTTTTCCACACTTATCACTCTCCGTTTTCATCCTCTTTTCTTCGACTTCCTTGACCTTCTGCCTTCGTGAATTTCACTTTCCATTAATAGTACATACTACTTATATCTGTCGACTTTAGTGACGCACACCACAATATTACTATCTTAGTTCTCATGTACAAGTAATGTGAAATTGAGGTGTCCTTTTGGTAAAGACCTGTTGTAGATTGACAACTCAGCCGCTTAAATTTTAGAAACCTTATAGCTGTTCTTTGTTAACTGACCTTACTAGTAATGTTAACTGAATATCATTTTTAAAATTAAAGATAATATGGATACAATAGTCACTGTTGTTCCTGCATTTTTATACCAGATGTACTTCTTTTGTGTTATTTAATGTCGAAGCCTCATTATGTTTGTTAAGTGAGACGCAGAGACTTGAATAGCATGTCGAAACTCGCCTTCTTCATTTTCAAGAGCCTAATTTCACACTAAGTGTCAAAGATATTGAGGTATGTGCAACTGACGTCGATAGATATAAGAAGTATTTATCATCAATTGAAAATGAAATGCCTGAGAGCAGAAGATTGAGAAGATCGACGGAAGGAGAACGAGAACAGAGAATGATTAGTGTGGAGACGAAGGAATAATGAATTGTGAGACGAGTGAATGGCCTTTTGCAAATAAAATGTTTACTGTATGGCTCTCTGATTTTCAAAGAGCTTCTGTAATTTTGTGTCCAAATACATTCCATTCTCCCAAATGTGTTTTACAATATTTATTTTTTACTGTTCTACACGAAAATCAGAACATTCAAACTTTCAGCTGGAAATTATGACTACAGTTATTTTTTAAAATCTTCCTTACTTTTAGTTTAATCACACATTCAATAGAAAAAAACGAGTTAATCAGCGAAACGAACTAAAAAATGTATAAAATATCTAAATACTCAGCATTTTGACATGTCGAATATCACTTGTGAACTGTGATATATAGTCAAAGTGTCGGACTTCTCGATGTGAGCATTTATCGGCTCTTGGTTTTAGTGCGTTGGTCACTGGTTTGTGATCCGTATGTTAGAAGTTCTTAATGGTCAGGTAGATTGCAAGGAGTTCTCGCCCGAAGGTAGAACACCTTGTCTCTACTGGGGCGAGTCATTTTGAGGAGAAAGCAGCTGGTTTCCAGGCGTCTTCAACCAGTTGGTTAAGGGTACCGCCTATTTTTTATCCGAAGTGTCCACCATCAAAGCTAGTGAGGTAAGGGAATTCGGATACATCAACATTGATGCTTGAGCCAGATTATCTTTTAGATTTTTGATAGCCTCAACAGCCTCAGAATTCAGCTTGAACTCTTTTGGTTTTCCTCTCAGTGAGTCTGTTAAACGTTGTGCACAGCCGGGTATGAATCTGCGATAAAATTTAATTAGACCTAGAAAACTTCTAAGTTGTGTTGGAAAACTAGGTATGGGGTATTGTTCGATGGTGTCCACTTTTTCTTTGATAGGCATAATCCCTTCTGGGCTTATTGTGTGCCCGAGAAATTCTTTAGTTCGAACACCGAAAACACACTTTGATGTATGTTCATTCCATTTTCATCCAGCCGTTTTAACAGTGCTCGTACATGCTGTTAGTGGCATTTAACGAATCGTCTATATACCCATGTGCAAATGGCATATCACGAAGTAGGTTATTCATGAATTTTCGGAACGTTTTTGCCGCATCCCTCAGGCCAAACGACATGAGCAGAAACTCGAAAAATTCAAAAGATGTGGTAATAGTTGTCTTAGGGATATCTTCATCAGCTAGCGGGATGTTGTGATATGCCCTAAGTCAATTTTAGTAAATATGTTCGTACTCTGTATACCGTTTGTGAAATTTTGGATGTGCGGTATTGGGTACCTATCCGGTACGGTTTGACGGTTGGGGGCTCTGTAATCCCCACACGGTCGTCAATTGACTTCATTTTTCTTTGGGACCGTCTGCAAACGGGAAGGATAATACTCGGTTGTAGCATGCAGTCAAATTCAGCTCTAGCGATTTTGAGCTTATCCAGCGCCAGTCTCCTGGATCTTGCAAACACAAGTGCACATTCGGTTTTGATCGCATGGCTTACTTTTAGTTTGCTTTTGGAGGGCGATGGGTTCGGTTCATTTGTGTTTGGAAATTCCGCGAATATATCCCGGAATTTCGCTGATGTTACTGGAGAAGTGGGTTTTAAGTTGAGAGATGTGAAGCGACTTTCTTTGCCTTTCGTGCAATTAGAAGTTTCTTTCAGCGTTAAGCGTTGTTTTTTCGTGTCAACTAGAAATTCGTATCTCTCTGGAAAGTCTGTCTCCAGTATTACCGGATCCCAACCGGCTACAGTGAAAACCAAGGGGAATCGCCTCCTGAATCCCAAATCTAGCGTTAAAGTCTGTCCAAGTGTCGTGAATTTAGTTTTATTGGCAGCTTGAAATGCAACTGGGCATGTTTCTCGACCCAGCTCAGTTTTATTTTGAGGAATGATACTAAGCGTAGCGCCAGTATCTACCGAAGAGTTCAAGTCAGAGTTTCTGTCTCTAACACAAAAATAGCGACTGTTTAGGCGCCCCTCCTCAGTCGTCGCGACCTGCAGAGGGGTTACCGGTTTCCCGGATTCTTTGGATTTTGTTTAGGCCAGGCGCATGGCTGCATGCACTTGATTGAGTTGACATCAAACTTCCAGTGATACCAACAGAACTGATCAGATTGTCTGAACATTTGTGGCTCGTTTCGTGACTTGGATCTTGGTCATTGTTTTTGATGGTTCTTTCTTCTGGACGTGACTTATTGTGTGTGATTCAGTTGGGGGAACTCTTTCCATTATCCTATTGGCTACACTCACTGAAAGAGATGGAGAGATTTCAGGATCCTGTGCATGCAAACAGTGTGAGACGTAGCATGGGAGAACTTGTATTCATCCTTGTTTTAGGATTGCTTCATCCACTGTGTTGTCACCTACTGAAAGTTGGAGGTGACGTAAAAACTGTGACGGCGACCTATCACCTAATGTTTCTCCTTGGAAAAGCCTTTGTATTCTTTGGCCGTCTGATCGTGATAAACGGTTCACTATATCTCTTCTTAAGATGATCTATGGTTGTGGAGATTGTGGACTTAAAACCAAGTCACGGACTTCTTTGGCGACTGGACGAATAGGGATAGAACATAAGTCTCTATAGAGAATTCCTTCAGATTTAATATTGTGTCTCGCGAAATACTGCTCTAGTTGAGCAAACCACAACTCGGGGTCACTACGATCAAATTCTGGAAGTGCCTATCTCCACTAGTGACAAATCCTCCAGGTTTTGAATTTATATTGAGTCTGACATGAGGTATATGACCAATATAGTGATACAATAAGAATGAAAAATGATTACTGCAACGCGAATACCGTAATATAAAAAAGCTATGTATGAACATATATACTAAAATTTGGTTCAGGATAACCAGATCTATTTCACGAACAAGTAAGAGAATAATAATAATAATAATGAAATCACCAGTTTCGTACCTGTAGGTAACCCTCGTTCTATTGATAGGAGAAACATGATTAGCGGAAGATAGATCTTCATTTAGATTGTGGAGCAGTCACAATGGAGACGGAGATTACCTGTTCAAACACACAAAGCTTTTCAATGTTCAATATAGGATAATAGGAAATATGATGTCTATACAAAATAAGGAAGTGAATGAATACTTGATCTGTATTTTTTTGAAGTATACTTAGTTGTTTGAGGCGAACTCCTAACTCATCAAATTAAGCTGTTACATACAAATCACGATTCTTTGTTGTTAACATTGATTTATATCTATTGGTGAACAGAATTTTAGATGATAATCTACATTTTTGAAGAGATGGAAATTAGTGCAGTGGAGAGATTTGTAGTGCGGCGTCGAGTCGCGGTCGACTATAAAAACCACTACAAGAAGAGCGCGTACCAGACAAATCAGAGGGCGAAAAAGGTTCGTAACCATATTTATTTGTTGGCGATCTCATGGTATCAAACAAATACCGAGATCGTGCCAAAAGGAATACAGGCGGAATTAGTGGGCAGAAGAACAAGTGTACCAGGTCACAGTCCATGGAAGAGTAATGGAGGAGCGTAATGGCTGTCTTTAATACAGCAAAACAAACGAGCACAGTAAAACAATCACTGGTACAATTGGTTATAATAATGATTGTTTCCATCAAACCAATCGCGTTCTGTTGATAAAAATAGGTCACTACAGATTTAATGAATTCTGGTAATTATGGCTAGAGAACGGTTAGCAAACTAGCCGTAAGCCGCATCTAGTTCAACTAATTCAATCTAACTAAACGGAATACAGTGTTGATCAGTAATAATTGTATATTCAGGGAGTTAGTTATCATCATTCTATTATCCTAAAATATTGGTGATTGATATGATGCTAACCACTTACGTATATGTGGATGCAACTTTGAAGTCATGAGGAATACTCTCTTAAGTTTTATTCGTGATAGATCGGCCAGGATATTTAGGCCATCTGAGCCTACAGATTTCCTAAGTTCTCGCGAAGTCAGTACATATAGCTTTCTTCATTTTATATAAAATTTGAAGATTAAAAATGATACTTTGTGTTACGAATTTGCTTTTTCTGACCTACTAATAATGGGTCTGCTTATTCTGTTTTGTGTATGCTCGATTGACTAATAGCCCGTGTAATGTCCCCACCCACTCGAAAACGTTTCATTTGATACCTGTTGGTAAAGGTGATATGACGAGGCAAGAATTAAGCCTCATGGGTATGCAATAACTCCATTGAAAGTGAATGGTCTATGGTTTCCATATTCACTAATAAATCATCTGTTAAGTGACTTCGAAACATGTTTACTCATGGACTCAATATTTCGTATGTTCATTTGATGTTTAGGTCAGTTATCACTAAGCCACATTGTATATTATCAATCAATCGGCATATCTGGTCAATTAATTCAACACTCACTAGACGTTTCTGTGACCATTAGAAGTATTTAAATCATTGAACAAACTAGGAATTTCAATGGTTAAGATCATGAGTCAGTTGAAGCTAGACCACCATGGAAAACCTGGAAGCACTGGACAGCCGTTTCTTCCCGAAATTTTGCAATCCAAGTAGACAGAAATAGGTGGTCACTTAAGAACATATTGTATTTGAAATTCGAAATCAGTCAGACACCAAGTACAAACGAATCATTCGTTTGTTCATATAAACACCACAGATTTTTCATCGCTAATCAAATAAACTCAATCAATAACAGAAGGACGTTACGACTGAGTGAAATGATGAATGGGCTGACCGAGTTTTGTACAGCTCTATGTGATCTGTAGCAGCATATCGCTTCGTACTTAGTTAGAGTGACACCAGTTAACTATGAGTATTTCCCAGTTTGTCTATGATGTACAGATATCTTATTGTCTGATAATTCTACAAGGATTGGAATATAAGTCACTTGGGTCACGTGGCCGCATTAATTACATTCATTTTAGATGTTTGTTTCTAAACGTCGATATATTTCTCTGTGTAAATACAGTATGGAGATGATGTGTGACATAAACACTCATTAAATATTCCAAGTTTTTGAAATAACCAAGAATCGTAATTTAACTCCAGGAAACAGATCAATATGTTGGACCATTTTCTCAATAAAATAATTAATATAATATCCTCCAACAAGTTGATTTAAAGATTATTTATAAAATCAGCAATGTGACCTGTGATCAAATGTATCTCATGTGACAGTAATGGAATGTCAGAAAACAAACTTGGTAACGAAACGAGAACTCTACAATGCGGGACTCATTCCGAATTTAATATTGAATATAAATTAATGTTTTGAACACTTAATGAAAGAGCTTGCTCGGGATAACTATTATTGGTATATAATTTATTCAAAAACTACAATATTTGTGATAAAGAAAAAGTCACATTAAGTATTTAACCATTTGTTCAGTAATATCACAAAGACCAATGTTTTATTCTATCCCGATAAATGTAACTATGAGAGCTACAGTAAATGCTATTTTTCATTGGGTTTTACTTGGAAGTATATTCCTACTCCTACCAAAAACCAATTAGGTTGGGTGATGCTTTCATGATAAGTTGAATTAATCTTGGTGTTGACAGTACGTTACTATATTTCTCTCGATCTACAGGTTCATAACATAACTGATCAATTCTACTGTTACGATCAGATAAGCTAGTAATTGTTGGACCACTCAAAATCTAGTCACTGGTTTACATGCTTGAACTTTACTATAGTTGTTTCGAGTTTTGTAAACTAAGTAGTATGTTAAATCAACAAAGTGGTTCAATAGGCGGTACATGAACGTTTAATTTATGGTGAAGTTTAAAGATTTGATGTGCTCATTTTCCCCAGTGATATACACTGACATGTAGCAAAAACGCGTAATAATGAAAAGTCATTTTCTTCTACTATCTGTTTATCAAGCCATGTTAAAAATATTATGGCTAAACATAAACATTTAATACTCTGTTCACTTTCATATGAAGTTTAATAATAAATTTATCCCAGTCACAGTGCAACAACAATTCCCACTTGTTGGGATGTGTAATTCTCTTGCAGGTTCCCAATGATCAGAAGAATTCGGAGACCATCGTTCAACTGAAGAGATTGTTGAATTGGTTTCATCACTCCAACCTCCGATAACATATATCATGTCGTCTAATGTAGTAACACAACAATTACTTCTTTTATGCATCATTGAAGGCACCATTTGCCATCGATTTGTATCCGGATTATATCGTTCTACTGTTCGTAGTCTTTGACGTCCATCGTTCCCACCGATAGAATACAAATACTGACCATATACAATAACACTAACACCACTTCGAATACTATTCATTGGAGCTATTATTGACCACTGATCAGTACGGGGATCATACATTTCTACAGAGTTATGAAAATTCTCACCATCAAAACCTCCGACAACATATATACACCCTGAAAATGAATGAGCTCCAGCGTCACTACGAACTTGATGCATTGGTGAAACAAAAAACCATTGTTTTTGTTCTATATCATACCGTTCAACTGAGCTTAGTCGAAGTTTGCCATTATGTCCACCGATAGCATATATATAATTGTTTAAACTACATGCACACACATAATTTCTTTTTTCATGCATTGGTGATAAAATCTTCCATGTAAGATTGGTTAATTCAAAAACTTTAAGAGTTTGAGTTGGCCCACTAGGCACATAACCACCTACAATATAAATTCGTGTTTTATGTAAAACACAAGCAGAATAGGCGTGACCCACATTAAGAGTTAAATTATCAGCATCTATACGACGCCAAGTATCAACTCGTGAATTATACACTTGAATTACTTTAGATGGACCGAAATAAGAATCTTGTTGACTTCCTTCCCATCCACCAATTACAAATATTGCAGTATGAGGAAGACGTGGTTTATGAAGATATGTAAAAAGTTCATTTACATCTCTTAATTTAGAAGTTAATATATTATTAAAATGTGGAATTAATTCTATATTAGAATAACGTGCTATAAGTATTAAATGATTACATGAATTCCACATTGTTTGTACTAATGAATGTTGTGATAAATAATCTAAATATTCATGTGATAATCTACCCAATCTTAAACATGCTAATAAATCATAAATATATAGTTGTCTTTCTATTAATTTATAATTAATCCATTTTATAATAAGATCAAATAAATATTTTTCATTTGATATATTAAGTGAATCTTCTATTAATAATTTTTTAAATTCAATTAAATTTATATTTAAAAATTCTTCATATTGACTAATTTCAATAAAATTAATTAATAAATAATTAAAAGTAATTAATTGATATTTTGGAAATTGATTTAATAATTTTTCAGAATTAATCCAATAATTTAAACAATTTTTTATATTTATTTTATTTTCAACTATTTCAATACAATAATTTATAAATTCTAATGTATTATAATATAATCCTACTTTTAATAATAAATTAATAGTAGATGGTTTAATATAATTATTTAATAAATTAAAACGAGTTTCATTATTACAATGATAAAATGATAATAAACATTCTAATGCATAAATATTTGAATAATTAAGTATAAGTGGTTGAAATTGTAAATTAGACAAACTTTTAAGTTGTAATGAATATTGTTTTTTAATTATTTTCTTTCTTATTCTATAATGATAATTTACTAATTCAAATTGACGTAATTTAATAAGTTCATCTTTAAAAAATGTACTTGCTTTAGCAAGTTTATATCCACTTATAGAATGAATATGACTATTGTTTATAATCACTTTTCGATCAAGAATATACTCTGGAAGTGTACTAATAAAAAAACAATCTGACATTGATGTGGACATAATTTCAAATGTATGATATGAGTATTATGAATATAATTTAATGTATCTGATCAATATTTCATTTTAAATTTATTGATTATTGCGAAGAAGTTCGATAAGTAGAAGTGGCCATTAATATTATTAGTTTTATTCAATATTATATAGTCAATACAATATAGAATTCTCAGTGTGAAGTATTTCAAGAAGTTTCTCTTTCTTATTTCCTGATTGATCCTGATGATAAATATTGAGTGATTGCCAATGAGATATTATCAGTTTAGGAATCGACATTTGAATAATATTCATTCTTTTCAATGCACATTGCCAGCCATCACGATGTCTCCGATTGTAAATGTTTGTAACTTCTATAGCTAAGGGTCGTAAACTCTTCACTTACGCAATTGATTGACATGGTGATCTGTCGAAACAAACAAGCAAGCAGATAATTTGTTGAAATATCTAGATGGCAGGAATAGGTAGCCTAGATATTCAAGCAGGATAATAATTATCGAATGATATGCAACTACAAATAGTAATAATAATACTAATAATTGACGTTAGACTACCTAAGACAAATGAATAATCGAAACTTTTGTAACAGAATGAAAAAAAAACTACAGGCAATACGGATCAAGTGAAACAATTAATAATGTGGAGTATTTTTATGTGTGAATTTTATTTGATCTGAATGAAAGTACCGAAACTTATCAAATAAATAATTAATTTCAGTTAACTGAATAAATACCAAAAAATTAAAGTATCAAACAGTTGCTGATCCGTGGCTTTACGTTAACGTGTGTCTTGACTTTCTCTTTTCCTTTCTTGAATCTTGTCTAGGTTTTGGAGAGAGACCCATTCCTTATGATGATACTTATTGAGGCCTAGAACCTCCTGACACGTCAAAGTTGGTGCTTCTGTCTACCATTCTCAGTTGACCTCCATAGACGTTTCTCTCATTAGACGTAGTAAGGCTTGGAACGTGTTGTTGAGTGCCACCTTGAATTTGTTGAATTTGACTGTATGTCAAAGAAAGCCTGTATTGAACCTGCGTATTTGTGTTTGTCCAGTAATTCAATTCTTTTTCAATTTCAGTTTCATCTTAGCAATCATCAGGTGGTGATCGTAAGCTGTGTCATTTCCTCTCCTGATTCTCACGCCTTCATTTGATCATGTGAATATATTTGATGTACAAATATGACCGATCTTGTTCCATGTGATGTGGCCCGCTAAGACGCATGTGGGAATATTGTACCATATATATCCAATTTGCTGAATGCACACAAATTTGCAAATCTCTCAACATTCTCGTTTGTTTCTTCTTGTCAGTCTATGTAGTCCTATGATATCTTGAAACCTGTTAACGTCCATTTCGTCTTTGATGTTTTGGTTTTCCATCAGGATGACCAGGTACTTCACTGAGCATTTCGCTATGATAGACTGCAGCCTCTCGCAAAACTAATCTTTTCAGTGGTTATCGCTATCTTTAGTGGGTGAATTACATTGGCTGATATTTACTGAGGTTCCCTCCTGCTTTGTTTTGAAAGATTCTTTGATGATCGTCGGTCCATCAGATTCCCATCCAATAAGTTCATTTTGTACTTCTTTGGACAGCATCAGAGCAATTCCCTGGATGTGTGCGACACTTTCTTCTTCATGATCTGAGTACTGAAGCATGTCTTATGAATCTATCCATTTCTGTCCAGCTTGGATTCGATGTGTTTCATTGATTTTGAGCACCATCTATTTGTATCAATCATTTCCGTATCTATTTAACTAGTTCTCCCGGTCTCCCACATTTTCTGAACATTTCATGCATCTATTACAGTTGTTGCTCTGTTCTGGATGTTAGACAGGACACGACATTCACCATGAGGCATCATAATTCTTCAGAAGCAAGATCCTTCAACTCAGACAGCACAGTTGAAATGGTTTAGTATGTTTGTTCTGGTTTTTGTTTATAGCAGGGTTGATTTTCACAGGACGCGGAAGCTGTCCTCATGCCCGACCCTCCTCCTTTTCCCGGGATCGGGACCGACAGTAACTCTAGAAGGGCAACAGGCGTAATCTAATTTATTTTGATTTAAGTCGAAATAAACTCATTCTGACTAGATAATCTGTGAGTGGTTACTCTCAGACGTTTAGTTGGCTGCATTTATTTTTGTATTCCTAATGATCACTTTATTCTGCTAAACTATTGACACGTGATTAACTGACGTTACCTGTATAGGTCGGTAAAATAGGTCCACGACGACATGCCTATTGATTTCTGATTGAATACAGTTCTGTGTTTCCAGAAATTCTCTAAATAGTTTGGAATGTATTAATCCAGAATTTTGAGGTTTTCTTTTACTGATGTAGGCGATTGCATGTACGTTTACGTATGCGTAAACGAGGGAGGAATTCAGTTAATTTAGTGTGAATTTCGTTGCAGCTGGCGTAATCTTTTTATAGATATGTATCAGAGAGAATACATATTGTAAGTAATATTCCATAAATTTTCAACGAGAATAAGTAAACAAACCTTTCTTTGTGTATGTGTGTGTTTTGTAGAATACGACTAACATCCACGATGATAGGAACTTTTTATTATTATTTACAATTACTGTCTTTCATTACGAGGTTGAGTTTGATTGAAGTCAGGAATTAGTCCAGGTTTTCGATGGTTATCTAACTTAGATTGGTTAGTGGTTTCAAGGAAATTATCTACTTGTTTATATTCAGCAGCATAATCACAAGTTATCAAATGAAAGTGGACCACCGACATTTATTTCAGTGGCGATACATGTACATGATTCTCCATAAATAAGACGAATTAAGTCATCCTCATTATTCAAGCAAATCAGTAAATCAGAAGGGGTTTTGTGGAGATTTTGGTAATTCCAGTTGTTGAGATCACGAGTCAATTGAAGCTATACCACCATGGAAAACCTGGAAGCACTGGACGTCCGTTTCGTCCTATTATGGGATTCCTCATCAGTGCGAATCCACGACCTCGCCCCCTGAGAGATTCGAACCCAGGACCTACTGGTCTAGCTTCAACTGACTCATGATCTTAACCATTGAAATTACTACAATGTCCACAAAACCCCTTCTGATAATAATCAACATATGCTCATTAGTGACTGGCTTCAAGAGGTATATCCTGGAGTTCTAGTGAGAAGTACTGGCTAGTGGAGTTCAACCAGTTCTGTTGTGAGATAGTAACTCACTGAAGATAATGGTGGATGTGTCGCTCAATTTCGTGGATTAGTTGAAGTTAGACATTAACACCGTGCTCGCGCGCGGAACCAGTAGGTCCTGGGTTCGAATATCGCAGGGGGCGAGGTCGTGGATGCGCACTGCTGAGGAGTCCCACAGTAGGACGAAACGGCCGTCCAGTGCTTCCAGGTTTTCCATGGTGGTCTAGCTTCAACTGACTCATGATCTTAACCATTGAAATCAGTCAATATTTAGAATGGTATTTTCATGAAGGAATAAAGAAAAGAAGCTTATGAAAGTTAATATTTACAAAACTGATGTGTAATACGATTGTAAATTACCATTTTGTTTGTACTTCAGAATGTTTATCATTTTCGATACAAAGCTATCACGAATCATTTTTATAATTGTTTACAATGGAAGTTTGATTAGTTGGTGCAGGAATGTTAATATTTATAAAAATAAACAAGTTGAAACATATCATGTTGTTTTGATTGTAGTTGACCTATTTTCTTTTGAATAAAAGCTGTTTGTTCTAAATATCTATATTGTTAATATAAGTCTCTGTTATTGTGAATTGTATAAAATTATTGAGGGAAATATTCAAACTAGTATTACAAACCAATGCTATCATTTTAAGTACAATAGCTACACATAATAAATAATAGTGTGGTGTGTTTACTACTGAAGTCGACAGATATAAGTAGTGTGAACCACCAATCAAAAGTGAAAAGCCTGGAGGCAGAAGGTTGACATGACCAAAGAAAATTGAATGAGAACAGAGAGCGATTCGTATGGAAACGATGGGAATGAAGTGTGAGACAATTGATGAACATTTTGCGAATGAATTATTTACTGCATGGTTGTCAGATTTTACTAAGAAATTCTGTAATTTCATTTTTCAATACATTTGGTTGTCCTAACTTGTGTTCTTGTCCCCTACGTTAGGTGTCGCTACAATAGTAATAATAAAGATTTATAACGGGAACCTTTGTATTTAGACTTACTTGTCAATGTATCGACCGTTACCATCATGTTAAGACATACATAAAGCATCATTTGTACTCTTTCTTCTACAGGGACAACTCATACACTTCATCAACAGAATTTGAAGAACACTAAACGACTGGAACTATATGATATGAGTTCTCTCACAGTGATCAATCAGTATAGCTGATAAACAAACAGTTTGAACCGTTAATGTTGGCGACATTGAAATAATTGTAGATTTGTTTTACTTTTGCATTGTTAACAATAAAATAATAGAAATAGTGAATCCAACAAATCTTAGTTAATTTGTGTAAAAATATAATTTACGTTCCATACGGAATTCCTAACACGTACAGCTTTGTAAACAAATTATAATTTTAGTTTATCATTATTATAATTAGTGGATCTATTCAATATTACATTTTTAGCACAGTATAGAATTCTTAGCACGAGATGATGAGTTTAGTTTAATTAAATAACTTTATGTTGGTTTTCTCTGAATACATTAGAACCAATGAATTTACTGATATATTATAAGTTTATTATTATTATAAGTTTAAGCAACTACGCCTAAACCATAGTTAACTTTTGATTGCAAATTTCATACAAGTTATATGACTTTACTGTTCCGTCTACAAAGCTTCTTAATTATTCAATATTGTCAAAACAAAATCAAGTGTATTTCTTGATGTCTTTTCTTCCAACACTGAAGGTTGACAGTTACCTTGGACAGGCATTATCCTTCAAGTCGTTAGAAGTTTCACTGAAAGTTTTGATACATTTGAATTGACCCATTTTATGATGTGTTAGGTTTGTAACCAGTCTTCAGAAATTTTACAAAACCTTAGGCAACTCAATTCACATATGTACTAAAGAGATCATTTGTGTTCTCACTCAAACATGTAATTTGTTGTTTACTTTACTCGGCTAAATACTTCGGATAAATCATTAGGTTTACAACATTGTTTTGTAGTTTATACATGCTTCTAAATTATCATAAATAGAGGATAATGGCAAAATATTTTGCACTCTGTTAGTTCCAACAGTTTGATGGGTACATTCTACAGTACAATGAGCAGAAATCATTTGACCTGTGTTAACACTACATCTTTATGGTTAGTGCATAATTATCTGAGTGTACGTTTTTCTTGTGAATAGTTTGTACAAAGTTTTATCAAAAAATACTGACCTGTGATGAATACAGATTGATTTGCACAAATTTTCTTAGTGGAAAGCACCTCTCAAAATATACGTGAGTAGAAATGCTTAAGAAAGCTGTCATTTGAATTGGTAGAGGAATAATGTGGAAAATGAAAGCTAACTATCATTTATTACATTCTATTGTTATATGCATTTGTTAACTATCTAAAATGCAGCAATCCACATCAGTCATCGACTAGTCGTAGTCTATAACTTAATTTTATTTCAGTCTACAACATTATAACACCACTTTGCAGGCTACAGCTACTTGAACAACTCCAAGTGTAACTGAGTGAAAACGATGTCTGTTTTCAAACAGCATAGGTAATACTACCAGTACGATTAAATTTAATGTATCTGATACTGGTTGGTAGTATTTATATATATGCTTTTGATTCAGACAAAAAGTACTTTTTGTTTATTCCATCACCAATGACATACATATGTACTTCAAATCCTGGTAGGAACATGAGGATTTTTGTAAATAAAAATATTTTCAGTGAAAAGTTTAATTTTTCTGCTCAATGTGTAGTTCATATTTTACCTTGCCATGATAATCTTTAGCTAAACATTGAAATTTCGAAGATTTATAGTAAATTTAAGGAAATGTAGTCGTGGAAAAATACATATATTCATAAGAAGACTGTTGACAAAAATATGACGACTTTACATGAGTGATACAAGTACACAGTAAGAGCTGTGTAGTTTGCGTTATTTAAGTTTATTCGGTACATTTGTATAAATCTAACAATTTAGATAAGACTGAAGACAGCGAGAGGAATTTTTCCATAAAATATTTGAATCTTATGAAAATATGAATACGATTCAACTGATAGAATGATGTTTTGTCCATTCGTTTTCTCTAGTTTGCCTGCAGTTTTGTTCTGAAAAGTAATTTCTATTTGTTTTTGTAATTACAGGTACATTATCATCATCAGTATCATTCACTCTATTGTCATCATCTGAACTGTCACCCCACAAATATTGTGGATTAAGTTCTGAATATGGTTTATGATTGTAGTCGATTGTAGGTAGGGAAGTGAACTTAGTTTTTCCATAAATTGAGTATTTCGATGAACTGATCTGAGAATGTCTCCGATTTTTATGCTTAAGCCGATGATAATCTCGATCTGGATTCAGTCCATTACTTTGAACTTGTGAATTATCCTGATATCAGAATAAAAAACAGTCGGTAAAACCATTATGTAAAGAAAATACTCTGTTTACAGAACATATAATGTAATTCATAAATGTATATAACGATTTCTACATCCAGTTCTAATAGATCAATTAACTAATCAATTAAACCCAAAATATACATAAAATATACGAAGTGAGAATGATTTATAGCTTGTCTGACCGGACTACACCGGAAAAATACTTGAATAATAACTGATCAAACTCAGAGTTGAAATGAAATAGTTCAGTTTTAGATATTCAGATGAACTGGAAACCATACATGATTCCCAACTTATGAGTAGTGTGTAGCAATTTACTTTTCCTAGAATTTAGGAAACCAATGTAAGTTAAAGATTCGATTACATAGTAAAAATGATTTTGCTACTGAAAACATAGAAGATCAATTGGGATCACTTTTACCGCTACCGTAGGCATTGTTATACAATTTTTTGTGTAAGTAAAAGCGATTTTAATATATAAACATCTGAGAAAAGTACAAAATCACTAAAGTAGCTACCTAATTTTCCAGTTGTCGAATTATGCATCGTCAGGTGAATATAGGTTCACGTTGACAGAACCATTCACGAAGTAAAAACTAGAAAACCAAATTGTACATATCCTTCATCATTATAAACTAGAACTATTCAATAACAGTCTCAATTTCTAGATATCAAAAGTAACATTCCAATCACAGTTGTATAATCTGTTCTTTGCTACGCTTCATTAGTTCAGGATATCACGTGTTGATCTGGCAATTTTAGTTTTGAATATTTCTTTAATAAACACTTGTTTTCAGCAAGTAGAATTACAAATTACTACCAATAAAGTACGGATAAAAACAAGTTTAGTAACTCTAAAGCTATCGAACGGGTTATTTATAGCAGTGATTACTATGGATGAATTATTGCAAGTATTTTAAATGTTAACTTATCATGGTAATTATTGATTTGCTATTTAAGATATATTCAAATATCTGTCACGAACAATGATCTTATACTTCCAGTACTAGTCGTGAAGAGAATGAGTAGATAGAATAGCAAAAAATATTCCAGTGTGAAGTTTAACGTCATTTGAGATATATTAAGCTAAAAATTAAAGAATTCCCGATTTGGCATGCAATCTTGTTGCTCAAAGGTAGTTTCATTATGTTAGTTCACAAACCTCCATACAAGACACCATTTACTGACCTTAGAACTATTCTATAAAAGAAAAAGACGGTTATTTATAAACTATTTACTTTCAGTATAGGGTTGCAGTGATCGTTAAGCTTTAATTGAGACCATGTTAAACTACCATTAAAAACCTAGAGGCACAGGACGACCTTGTTCAGTCAAGCTAATTCGTGTCGGGTGTGAGACAGTTAACCACCGAAGACAATGTAGGATTGTCGCTCAATATCGTGGATCGGCTCAGTGCCCAAAGGTTAAGCGTTCACAGCAAGCCATGGGTTCGAGTCCCGCGTGACCGATCGTGGATATCCACTGCTGGGGAGTCCCATACTCGAACAAAACGGCCATTCAGTGCTTCCAGATTTCGAATGACGGTCTAGCATTGACCGATTCATGATCTCGTTTAAAATATTTATTTGTTAGGTAGTCATGAAGAGGGGATCAATCAGTAATTTTTAACACTCCGATGAACAATTCAAAGTTGATGTATTTGGAGGTGTTAGTCCTTATCTGTTTTGCTTTGTACATGGTAGCAATATTAGCTCAGGACTGATCTATATTTCAGTTACTGCAAAAAGAATTTTTCTGTCACTTGCCAAGAGAACCAACATTAACCGATATGCTCAGTTTGAAATTTAATTATAAATTGGGTTAGATGAGTTAATTCTAGTTCATGTCAAAAGTAATCGGTAAAATCTGGTGAAGACTAGATGTTGATACTGAGTATTCCACTCATTTTAGTCCATGGAGATATAGAAATTTAGGTCAACGTACTTTATTTGCATTAGGAACATGAAAACTTGTCTGACGACAAATTAATTGTTTATTACATATTCTAAACATGGTCAAATATCCACCCAAAGTAATAATAACTGTAAATTTTCACAAATATAGAGGAAACCTAAAGGATCGAGAAAATAAATCAAATATACTACTTACATTACTTTGATGTAAAAGACTATTATTTTCTTTTTCCGATAACTCTCTTGCGTACCGCATTAACGATGAAGGTTGAAACTCTAAAACACAATTAAACATACTTATTTATGTATATGTTCATATAAATTTTGATATATGATTTAAATAAGATCAAACTTACCTAAACCTATTATTCTAACTTTTTCATCTAAATAAGCTGAAGAGTTTAATAATGCTAAACAATTTTCTATGCCAATAGGATTTCCTGTCAGATCTATTATTTTGAAACGAGATGTTTTTATTAATATCTCTGTAATGCATGTTGCACCATCATGATCAATGCCACAAAATGCAATACCCAAACGCTTTAAACATGGACAACTGATAAGACTTGACTTCAAATCAAATAAACCGGAAGAGCCAATATTTAAATTGCCAGATAATTGTAATGTTGTTAAACGTGTGCAGCGTATTAGTCCAGTTGCCAATTTATTCATACTTGATCTGGTTATCATATTTTCTGATAAAAACAATCGGATTAAACCGCGTTGATTTTCACCTGAATCGAGAATTTCGGATGAAAAACAAGGTGAAGCTAATGCCTGTGATATAGTTGAACAACCCAAGTCCTTTATATGAAAAGAAGTCAAATACGATATAAAATTATCAATATTATTTCTAAATGTTTATTAATATTTACTCAAAAAGTTATTTTGAAAGGAAATGGTTTCACTTAATAGTAAAACACTTTTACAACTAATGAAGTTCAATATTATGCTATTAAATAATATATATGATCTGAGGAATACAGCCAGTGCAGTCTGAATCGAACTAATGAGACTAGAAGTAAATGAACAGAAGATACTAATGATATATTACATTTTCACTTGACCGCCGATTAACACAGATTATTCAAAATGTGTATTCCCATTGAATTGGACTGTTTTATAACCTATGTTTTTCTCCAACTTAAATTGTGTCACACAACAGTTATTTGCTTTTATAGTGTATTTTTCGATCTTCCTTTTACCAGTAAACTTTTCCAATGGAATTTGATAACCTTTACGTAACTTTGATTTAAAGACTTGAAAAAAAATTCCTTGACTTCTCACATTTCACAACCATAACATTTGTTTTACCCAGTAGTATTGCATTTTGTATTAAAAGGTTAACTGCGATCTGATTTTGTGTATAGTCACATTTTTATTTCATCCATAACGTAGTGTATAAATTTTAAGACGCATTATTATTTTTATTATTATTATTATTTATCGACATCATTATCAATCCAGTTTTGATTTATAAGCTTGAAATTTATGATTGATAAATTTACAGAAATAATTTTCTACACAAGTACACATCAGATCTCATTGAAACAATTGAAATGAACTAACTGTAAATTATTTTCATTGTATCAAAATGAAAATTTTACTAGCGAATTAAAAATAAATTCCATGAAAACAGATCAGTCTCTTTGTGTTGTTACAGACTAAGTTCATTTTATTAATATGGTTAAATGAAAAATTTAATTTGAAATTTATTTGTTAATTAAATTTAACTATAATCTAAATGAACTATATGAGAAGAAGTAGTGAAGAACTATCTAGTAAATTTAATCAAACAAAACTATTTCATTAGCAATCTATTATCAAGCTTGGAATTTGACTGTTCAATTGTTTATAAAGAAACTTCGTTAAAGGGTAAATTATAAATAAGTTTTTATTCTCTGGTACTTATATATATATATATATATGTTTTATCTAGAGCTTAGATATACCGCGTATAACTTAAGCGCTCGAACTCCAGAACCCTACAAGTCGCAAATAAGAAGACAGAAGACTGGAGAAAGTACTTGTTGGGCAAGAATCAAAATGTACAGAAAATCACAGGTATTTATAGATATTAGCGTCTGTTAAATCAACATTATAAGTCAACCAATCCACAAATAAGCATGTTTTGCTACTGGCCAATAGTAACATACAACGTTGCCATTCTAGAAAGTTCCATTACGTTCTGATTGGATGGAACTCTTCGACTCCTCTAAGGCTTCTGGAGGCTCCGTCGCAGTTCTCGGAAGCCGTCCTAACAGTAGTGAAGTGATTTCATTGTCTAAGCGTACTACTTATTTGTGGAACTATTTTTCTTCTGATTAAGAACTTATAAAATATGTAGTTTCAACATTGTTTATTTATGTGTCCAGTCATGAAACCCCTACTTATATTTGAACAATGAATTTGGATTTAAACAGTTAATAAGTGAAAAAGAACAGTGTTTTATCCGGACGAAGAATAAATGAATGATAACCGCTAGCAATCATTTATGGACTATCATGATATATATTCTCACAAGATATAATAGATATTGACTGAAATCCTTACGAAAGCTGAAAGTAATGTTAGGTTGTTATCTGAATAAAAAAAATCAAATCTCTACTGGCTAAGTCGCAAAACTGAACTATTAACTACACTTCATTTTAACATACAAAATTAGTATTCTGGCAGTCTAGCTTTCTGTTAACTAGATAACGTGATTATGAATCTTTGCTTATTTTCTTGACAGCTTTATGTGCGTCAATTCTTACCCTACAGCAGCCTAAAGAAAACTATCTGACTAGTCTCTGAAAAGAATATTGATCTAGTCAGCCCACTGTCCCAAAGTTATGCACATAAATTCTAAGACATTTGAGAAATTCTACAAAAAGTCCATTTAAGTTAATGTTATTGGTCAATTGTTGTAAATAATCCATTTGATTTTGTTTAAATAGTATAAGACAGTGAAAGCATCAGTTGAAGCTAGAAACTGTTTTTGTCTACTGAGAAAAAATTAAGTATTTAGTTAAACTTTTCTTTCATATCTAACTCAATCACAATTATTTGCTATACATTGTTTTTAGGTATTGAAATTTATTTACATCTGTGAAGAATACTGTTATGAATTGAAAGATACCAATTGGTTTTTAGAAGAGAAATAAGATTTCCATGTAAGTTCTTAGGATAAACAGATATATATACATAAGCAAATAAATGCATAAAATTGATGGCATATTAAAGTTAGAAAGTACATTAAAAGTCATATGATTTGATAATAAAAAAATAAATTTCAGTATTTTAACGTATTTCCTTTATTCTATTGTTATATTTAACATTGATAGTTTGTTAGATTCTAATAAGACATATTTTTACTTTTGATAATATGATTAAATGTACTATTTATCGCTCCCCCCCCAAAAAAAATCAATCAACAGTATAACAATAAAAAAAAACAATCGAACGAAAATAAGATGAGTTCACAATAAACCAATATTTACTTTATAACAGAATATGTGATAATTAAATTCAAATTTTTTTTATTGTTTTTATACATGATACATCATAAATTATTATTAAGTGGCTTTTTTGTGGGACAGGTATTTGATTTATTACAAAAATCTTAATCAAATACTTAACTATTTAATTTATACACATAACAGTAGATCATATTAATAACTTGATGGTCGATGTTATCATGGTACGAAATGAACTCGGTGACACTTTTGTTTAGAATGGATATCTCATAGTATCCATTAATTATCTTGTTACTTATTTAAAGAAAAATATTTCAAAAACAATATAATAAGGTATGTCTACTGTCTACTTCAAAGCTCAGTTAGGTTGCAGTTATATAATTATTAATACTGAGTAGTATCGATAAGGTACATCATGAAAAAAATGTCGTTGAAAACGTATTATAAAGAAAGTTGACATTTTTTTACATTTTTTTCTTAATTATTATAATTATGGATAATTTGAATTGAAGCGTGTACTTTTTACTTCATTTGATTCTACTATAACAATGATGATCTAAAAAATAAAGACTATTTTCATGAGAATATTTTGCACTTTTCTCTATCTCTCTGTGGTTACATATATATTTATCTTAGGAAGGAGAGTAATATTTACCAATGTCTTATATATAACTTAGTCTTAATTTGATAAAGTACATATGTTTTATTTATTCTAAACTAGATGTGTACCAGTTCCTTATAAATCCTATTGTCATTATTTTAAATAATTAACTCATCTTTTATAGAAATGTATACGTGAAATTTAAGTGTTAAACAGAACGAATAGATAAGAACAACCGGTATCGGATACATCAGAGAAGTTTAGAAATTTGTGTAGTAAATTTTCATGATTAGACAGGGTTTAGAGTAATAGTCTTCCGTAACACTCACAATCCGGTTTTTGAAAATATCGACCAAATAAGTTCTTCATTTTGAAAAGAATTATAAAGTAGTAAACAATAATTCACTAAACTTGAAATGTAGGATTCAAAGAAAATCATCTGAAAAATATTTTTCTTCGGCTACTTTCCTTATCTTGAACAGTACATTCGACGAGATATGAAACTATCTAGCATGACAATGGAAACATCATGGATGGAATATCCAGCTCAGACAGAACATAATACCTCCGAAATTCCTTCCATTCAACAGAAATTCTAATCGTCTTAGAATATTACATTTGTTTAGTGTTTCAGTTATTTTGTAGTTACACTTATTTATTCACATTTTCAATGTAATAAAAGAGAATGCACAGCAATTTATGACTAGCCAATGTAGGAGTAAAAATTTAGAAATGTAGTGTTTTTTTGATAAAATAATATGAACTTTGTTTGCTGTTAAACGTAAACACAATTTATATTTAGATCCAATTCTACATAATGTTTAGCGTTAACATTATACAACATCAGGATAGTTAGAGTTCACATTTATTTTTATTATTACTACAGTACATTATTGATACAGTGAGAGGTGATAACAGTTAACATACCATAGTGAATGCATTTGTTATCAAATGTATAGCTATGGTTTGTAAATCAAAATATACAATGATATTTCTGTGTACAAACATAAATACAGGTATATCTTATTCATTATGATTGTTAATTTATGATCTGGTTTATTAACAAACAGATATTTTAATTATCTGTAAATATACGGTAATAAAGAAAACGTGTAAAGTAGTCTCAAATTATTCTCCATTTATAATTGTTCAATATTATTTAAAATAAATATAATTATTCGATTTTCTACACTAATAATACGTGGTAAATTAGATGAGAATATAGATGAGGACATAGAAAGCAGATTAGATTGAACATGTTCAATCTAAAAATAACACTAAAACTAAAGAAATAAGCAAACATTTTTTTTTAAATAACCAAATGTCTATTTAAATAGGAGTTAAGAAAGAAGCATTGCTATTCTAACAAAACTTTCACTTAATTAATTTATTAATCAATATAAAAAAGCTTCCATTGATTGCGAATACCTCTGCAAATAGTCCGAGAAATAGTACTTTAATGGAGTACGAATAAATATACATCAGAGATAAATCTTGACTGAAGTTCATTTTAAAGGTGGATTATATAATATAAAGCTCGAAATCATAAGAGGAGGTAGTTTTATTCTAATCAGTAATGGTTAAGTTAGAAGTGTATGAATTTTGAAATATATATCATAGTTCAAATTACTGTTGCCTTTTAATAGTTTAGAACCATCAATATAGTTTGCGACATATTGTTTAATATGGTGTTAACATGTATTAACCTTATAATTAATTATTTCTAATGCTTCAATCCCAAATGCTGAAAAATATGACCTCGACCTACGTTAATCGACGAGTGATGTGACGACCACTGGGATCTTTGTCATCCTCTTTAACGCTGTGCGGATTTCTTACGGACTACCTCTGATTACCCATTGCAACTTGGATGTTCTACATTATGAAATATGTATTTATAAAGTTAAGTTCGCTTAGTTCAGCTGGTACATGAATACGCATCGATAACGCTGAGTCGGAAAGAAACAGTTCACATCCCCAGCTACAAAGCGTGTTGATCATCAAATACGATAGATAGTTCCATTTGACCAATCCTTATATCTGGCTGAATTTTCATCCTGAAGTTGATCACCAGTAAGCATGCAATAGTTCACTTAGGTGGTCTGTGGAGATCAATTTAAAAGCGTGTATACTAGTTGTATCTTTTCTTCATGTTTATCAATGAAAAAACAGTTTTTTCATATCTGACATTACATATCACGCCTTTCTTACTAGAGACTTTTCTAAGGTATTACTGTTATGATGTTTATCCCGTCAATAATCTTGTACATTAAAATGATATCACTTCTGACTATTTATTTTGTATGCATCTTATACTTTAAAATATAAAGACTTTGTCACATGTGTTGAGTTAAGAATAATTTACTGGTTAAACTGTAATAGTTTGTTATACGTGAGAACGTTTACGTGTTGAGTTATTTATCACAAGAAATATTGAGACAGAAATGATGATAATTATTACGAGGAAATCTAAAACTCAATACAATTTAGAATAAAAAAATCATTAAAAATAATCGAATTAATTTAAGCGATTGAATTCAGTATCCAAATCTACAAGTTTTCATCACTTCATCAACAGGGATAACAATGTAATCACTCAAAGTTAACTATTAGTAAACTTTATTAACTAAAAAAACACCATGCAGAGAAACCAAAACTTTTTTAAAGGAATCGGATTATTATAAAGTTAACAATGAAGCAATGAGAAGTGATTCAAATCACGTGATTTGATTGTATCTAGATTACTCTTCAAATAATAGCAATTGAGATGTTATAGTGACAACATAAATTAATTCACTTTTCTTGAAAGCTATCTAGCTTTTAATCAACACTCGATATTATAACTTAGTATGGTAAGTGTTAGGAATTTTTGTTGAAATCTTAAATTTGTTAAATTTCTCTTAGAAACGATTGATTAAACATTTTGATAGCAGTTTGTATCTATTTATAAAGAGAATTACTTTCTGATCCAAATATGGTCGTAATGGTTTCTGAACAATTTATAGATTCAATTCATCATGTATTGGTTTTTTGAATCTTCTCATTCATGTTTAGAACTGTAATTGATCAGTCTTTTTGTGGCATAAGTACATCCTGTGAGTATTGCCTCGATATTGCCTTAAATCATTAACATACACCTCTGCTTATAATTTGTAGATTGTTTCTAGCAGTTTTATGAATGTTAACGGCATAGATTAAACAGCCATTATTCTCTACCATGTAATGCTTTTAAAGACTGTTAGATTTATGGTGGAAATTATGAACTGGTTCTAGCTAAGCAACTATTGAATTTTGAAGGGCAATGAACATATTATTTACCACTGTCACTATGCCTACGTTACTTAAGCTGAATAAGAATTTCCGAAACAAATGAATAAAAGCTGAATCTAAATAAATATTGTTCAATATAGTACCCATCTACACACGATTGAAACTGCTCTCTTACAAACTTTCAGCTGCTGTAAACCAGTGTCTCACAAGACATCTTAGTTTATTAAATTCCAGTAGCTGAACATATTTTACAAGTTTACTTGTTAAAATAATTATTAAGCAAACTGAATAGTAATTATATACACTTTGTTCATGACATTATTTTAAGAGTACGTTTGCACTGCATAAAGCTTTGAGTGATTTTGATCAGAGTTAAATAATGAGAACAGTGACCAAAAATGACATATGAAAGTATAGGCGTTTAAATAAAATTATAGAAGAAATGGTACATATCTAAACATCTATATATAAATGTTCAAGTCAAGAAGTGACAGCTGATTTGTAAAATTCAAAGATTATTCCGTTAATAAGAATATCTACCAGCATTTCTAAAAATAATTATCAATGAATAGAACTTCTATATATTAATATTGTTTCGGTATAATTCTACAGATGGAGTGGTTAGAACGTGGAAACACTTATATCCTCGAACATTGGATAAAAAAACTATTCGTTGATGAAATACTCCGATGAGCCACAAGAAAAAACATAATTGCAACATATTACGTGGTGAACGTATTACAGAAAAATACGTCTACACGTATACAACAAAAACATTTTCATCACTTCTATATTGAACAACGTGACAAGACTGATTTATATATATATATATATATATATATATATATATATATATATATATATATATATATATATATATAATATTCGTGTTTAATCCCTCCTTGAAACAGTGAAGTCGATGATTAATACTACGTATCAGTCAGCACTCAAAACTAAATTTGAGAATAATACATCACTGCATCTCTGTACATACATACTTATCTATTTTATTTTAAGAATCTTGGAAGATAAATGGATGGAATTAAAAGTGTTCTTTATAAATGTGAGGTATCTATGTTAAAGGTGTTAGATTATATGAATGAGAAATTTGTATTGTTTCACAAATTCACTAAATACCTGTTTTCAGTGTAATATGAACCTAATGGGTATTTTATAGATTTTACCATATAAAATACAAAATCATGACGTGACAGACTGATTTTTAGATGTGCTAATTTATTCATCAGTCAAACATATTTATTTTCTATTCAACGCTATGAAACTAACTTTAAAACAACAAGCTTCAATTCTAAGCTTCTATGTTTTCTACAATCATAAATACATTTTAATTAAGTGGTCATTAGTTAACTAGAGACAAGATTATATATGTAAATTTCCGAAACAAAAACACTATCATTAAATATGTTTTATTGATACAGTGCAATATTGAAAAGTTAAATTAAAATGAATAACTACAAGAGACAAACAAACGACAATGAAATCACATGCACCACTTAAATAAAGAAGTTAAAGTCAAATTATTAATTGAAAACATCAAATGAACAAAATCTTACTGCATATTTCTCTAAATTAACATAAATTAGACAGCAAAAACTAGCTTCAAACTATTCATACAATAAAAGTGAATTTAAGACTAACTCATTTATTTGACTGCAAGTATCGAATTCCATATTCACAATAATGCAATCGCATAACCATGAATACTGTCTCATATAGTTTCAAAACTTTGGTTTTCTATACTATATTACTGTTTCAAAATTATTTAAAAGAGTTTTTAAATCCTTTGGTTGTGATTAATTTTATGTTAGCTAGATGCGTCCGGTAAGGATCGGCGTCAGAAAAGGCTACTTACTCCCCTATTTCCTCTCTCTTCTCCAAATCTCAGGAGAAGCGTGGGATACAATAGACAGCTTGGATGTAGCTAGACCATTTGGACGAAAGAACACACAGAGTCGGGAATCGGAAGCAGAAATCAAAAGGATGAGTAGCAACTGGAAAGGATTGTCCAGGACAGAGTTCAATGGAGAATGGTGGTGGGCGGCTTATGATCCACCACAAGGGTAACGGGCGTAAATATTTAAGCAGTTGGATGAGTAAAACATATGTCGTTCTACATTCAACGAACAATCTGATGTGGTATTGTACCATATCAAATGAGACAAATTGTTTTTTATTAAATAACAATAAAAGCGATTTTACCCCTAAAACATTTGGTTGAATGATTGACGAAATATAATTACCATTATGTAAAACTATGATCAATCTTTCATCAACAGATAAATTTTGAACCAAGTAACAAGAATTAGAAGAGACTTGTATTAGACTATTACTACAGAAAATTATGATAAAGAAACAGTTTATTCAAGTAATTTGTGAACAGCTAACGCTTTGACTTCATTGGTTTAAATCAATGATACCTCAGAAAATCTATATGGATTTTTATAACAAGTTCGAAGTTATTATGCTAACAATTTAGGTAAAACAATCAAGTAGAATATCGATACATTTAATCGTTTTAAGGTTTGTTTATAGCTAGGGAAGCCATTTTGTAAAACTTCTACCTTTAATACATTTTAATGAAATATAGTTCGCGATTCCTGCCCTATTGTCTTTCTTTTGCTTTTTACTCATTACAACGCTGACTTGTGTTAAAATTCATCCTGCAGACCATGTATGCTACAAATGGTCAAATGAACAGTATGTAATTACCCTTTTATTTGTTGAACAGCTAAATGAATGAGTTATTCAACTTTAAATATATAGTTGTAAAGACACACTACTGTGATTTGCACAAAACTTCATCGATAAATATATGTCATTCACTTGGCGGTACATACTGAATGTAAGCATGATAATATTAAACAAGAATTTATTAAAATAAATTATTTGATGTAGGAATTTCAATGTTATTCATTATTTGTTTTTCCTATTTATGTACTTGATGTAACCAATTAAAATTTTACGTTATTTTGATTAACATATGCATTTTTAGAAATTTAATTGTTACAAATTGTTAGTAATTAGGGTAATTGTGACTATTAGTATAATTGACAGTCAGACTATAACTATAAAAAAGTAGAATAAACAAGGTGAACACAATTAAAGTCATAAAACATCGTGAAACTTCAACATGATAACCTACCCCAAGTAGATTTCTACTCAGATCTAAATATTTCAGATGAGAACTATAACGTAACAACGGCACTAAAAATTTAGCATCAGATCCAGTAATCCCATTATCGGGTAATCGAAGATCAGTAATACAACCCAAACGAATCCCCGGAATCAGTATATTTAATAATTGCCCATTAATACCTGTACAACCAAAATGTAACCCACGTGAATGAAAAGGCAGTGTTTTTGATGAACTTAAATTTGATTCTGAAATCGATACACTTTTAGAAAATTCGAAAGTATACTTATCAGATGATTTCTCGGAGAGACGACTACAATTTTTATCGAAACTTTCTTTTTTAAACTGTTTTGGTTTAACTTCTTTTGGAGGTATACGAAGAGATGATGATAATATTTGTACAAAAGTTAAACCCAAGTTATTTTCTCTTAAATCAAGCCATTTCATATACGGCACCTAATAAATACATGAAAAAAAGATACAATCAAAGAAATAAATTAAACATTAAATATCAGTTAGTATTAATTTGTTTGAAATAAGAAATTTTGTCTCAAAAATGTTCATAAAATATATTTGTTTTGAGTTACAGAATTCACTGTTAAAAATTTAATCAGTTTTAAAAATATTGAATTTCCCCAACTCATGCAATATCGTGACTACATATACGATTTTTCAATTCAATCTGAATAAAACGTTTCATATGATCACCATAGAAACCATCCAGCATCTTTCAAATAAATACTTTAGAGTAATAGAAAAATTTTCAACGTAGATGTAGAAAGTCTGTAAAAAAGGTTTAAAATTAAATTTTAAGCCAACAAACTTAGTTTATAAGCAAACTAAGGTTGATAGATTGGAAATGGATCTACCAGTCTGCATTAGTGATAGTTACTTTAGGCAGATTTTAATGGCCAAACTATTTGTCCGACAGTGTCGAAAAAATTCAATCACAGACTATTAAGATGTTTCTTAACGGTTATACTTAATTTATTATTGTGACCTAAAACAAATTGGTACTAAATGGTCAATCTCACTTTCATATTTTCGCTATGACACTTAGATATAACATGAACTAAAATGTTTTGAAACATGCTTTGATAAAATAAGAATAGGTGAAATGCTCAGGTAATCAATAAATTAATAAATAAATGAAAAATATCTAGGTTTTTACGGTTCATTTGTAGAACACGTATTTAACGAACTTCTTAAAAGGATTTATATATACAAAGGTGCTGAAGATAATTCAGTTGCTGAAAAATTACACATTCCCATAAATACATGCATGATATACCTTATCTTATAATAGATAATTTGACAAGAGTCATAAAAGTAAAATATGTGAATATGTAATCATCAAGGAACTATTCTAGTGTACTAGTACATGACAAAAACTAATCGAAAAACAATAAAATTCTATGAAATAACGCAATGGGAAACAGGAGAAAATTAGAGCAAAATGTTTTCTACCTTCAGTTTTAAGATGATGCAGATTAATTAAATATAAAACTACAGTAAAGTGGGAGCATGAGTGGTTTACATCTAACTCTTTGTTCATCAAGAAACCCCCAAATTATAAGGAATAAACATTCATGAAACATTATTTGTTTGATTAATGAAACACTTGATCAATATTAAATCTACTGACAACCAATTTTTTGATTTTGTCATCGATTTTATGTAACAAAATAAATTAGTAAATAGGGAATAATAACAATAAACAGAATGTTATATTTTCTTAACAGGATCAAAAAATAATGACTGGGAGATATAGTAGTAATCCTTTGTTAAATGGAAAGATGAATTGTCTAACCAAACACATTTTATTGTCCCGATATTTGACACCGATTAGATTGCATGTTGATCGCTATTGAAATATACATATCGTCAATCCTCGTATAGAATTATCGACCTAAATCGCATTAGTAAATAACGAGATTAAATGAGTCCAATACGAGAATGGGTTTTTGAATGCGTATAATTTTTACACTCATTGATTTGAACAGACAATCATAAGAATGAAGGGAAGAAAAGAGAGCGAAGCACAATTAAGTTCAGTGGAGATGGCGTGCGAGACAAGTTCATTTAATCAAGAGTTTATAGTCAGATCAAAACAAATTACAGACATGTTACGAATAGAATATGAAGTGTACACACATATACGCTCATATAAAAAGTTAGGGTTGATAAGTGAATAATTAACAAGGTCAAAACGTGACTCACAAAGAATAGATAAATTGACCTGTCCAGAAGCTAGAACAAGTTATGTGGGCTTAACATAGTAATCGACACTACAACATGTTTACTTACTTCTCGAAATAGAAAAGCGACAGGAATCCAGCCGGTAGACGTAACATTAGGGTTACGAGCCAAACACAATCCTGTACATGTTTCATAATAACTCAAAATTTCATATAATGATTCAACAGACTAAATATAAGTTCAAGAAATAAAATATACATAAATCCACTGTTACTTATAGAGATCTTTTAGCAAAACCTATATAATATTTATTAAGACTCATATGTTTCCAGTTCAAACATTTTGGAATTATTCATGGAACAGAAATAGACAATAGTAAGGTATGATTTTGTGTCTTTATATATTAGTATTCCAGTTGATAGATATTTAGATTTTATTGGTTGACTTACCAATGCATAATAATACTCTATCTAGCAGATTTTCTTTCAGAATTAATCTAATCATGAAATTTCTAAAACTGCTTGGATTTAATGAATTCATATCCAGAGGAACTTTAAACAAACAAATATAGTGACTGTTAGATCACACATAACATCCATTGTTGTCGATTTGTTTATATCTCATGCTAGATTGCTTACTTTTCCTGTACCATCGGGCTTTGTATCTTGGGTAACTATGCAGACACCCCATTTTTCATCAATAAAAAGACTTTCCTTAAAAATTATTCTAAAATGATAAACAATTTTTCAGATCACAGCAAATTTACTTCCTGAAAGGAAGATGAACGCAGTGAACTACCATTCGTGGACTGTCTAGTTAAGAGGAATTATAATGGGAATCTTAAATCAACCATTTACCGAGAACTGATCCATTCAAATCGGTATATCGATTTCAGCTCTCCACACTTGTCCAGCGCAAAACTATCCCTGACCATGAGTTTATTAAGATGAACTTTCAAGTTCATTGCTCCAGAAGTGATAACATAATAAACTTTTTGCGACTTAATAATTTTCCAGTGAATATTCTTATGAACATGCTGGAGTATAACAGTTCATCTAGAAATACCAGTCCTAATGAAATTTCTTGTATTGGTACCGTAGTTTTTCCTAACCACCAAGATATACATAATCAAAGCTTTCTATAAAACGACCAATACTCTTCGAAATACTTTAGTTCGGACTCAGGAAATGATCCTGTTCACATCTATACAGTACTGTGTCTACACATTGTGTCAATCGTCTTGTGTTTTATGTTGGAGGGCCTTTTCATAAAATATTGACTCGTGCCGAAGAACACTTAAACTATACAAAAAGACCTATTAGTCCTGCAGAACTGAATAATCTCCAAATCAGTACATGTTATATTTAGTTACCACCAAACCGATATCAACAATATTAAAATGATTCAGTAAGGCCTTTTAAACCATAAAGAAAGGCGAGTGGCTGAAGCGTTTCACATAATACTAATTTCCTTAATAGGAAAGAAGTCCTGACTATTTCTCCAGATTCAACTATTTATAAAACAACCACATGTAACTATATTCGCTTTTTGGACAATTAACGCACACATACACTTTCATATTTCGACTCATTTATATGTATTGATTAGATGAATCTTTCCACTAACGTTTTAGACCATTTCATAATTCAGACTTCCCGTTTTTTAAAGCCACACAAATACTGGCGTCTCATACAAAAGCCATTTGACCAAATATTCACATGACAGTAACATAATTAGACCTATTTTTACCTTGATTTTAATTGCACTAAATATTTTCCCTTGTTCCTTTATGCTACTTAGATGTTTGTTAATTTAACTCAGTTATTTATTTATTTACTCTGAATATATGACCATTGAGATATCAAAAATCTATCATTGTTTTACTACATTTGCTTTCAATTTACACTATTATTTTGTTTAGGCGAAAAGTAACACTTTAATCAATATCTAAACGCGTTACGCTAAAGAGTATTCATTACAATTTTATCTTAGTTACTTCTTTTGTTTATCCTTTATTTTGGGAAATACTGTTTTTCTCGTCGGGTCCTTCGTTTATTTCCATTTCACAAAATGTTGTTTAATATGGTACATGAGCTCGCGAACCAGCAGAACATTACTTAAACTAGCATTTACAATTCAAAAACTGATAAACTGAAATAAAAGCTGACTTTCAAATACTCTGTAGTCCACTTCCTCTTTTATAACCATAAAGAAGTTTAAGTGTATCAAAGTTTATAACATGAGATCACTTATAACATTGCTCAAGTTGTCTTAACCAGAATAAAAATAACCCACAAGTGTAATAGTCCTGACATCACTTAAAAAAACTGAATCGATTTCGTCTTAAATAAATATTTTCCTCGTATTTTATTTCCTTGTATTATATATTAATTGCATAAACGTGCTTTCTATACCATCTTCTTGTGATCAAATATTAGGCGGTATATCCGAGTGATGAAATGTAGCTATATCAAAACACCAGTAGGATCCTTACCTCGTCATCAAGATTGGTGTTTTCCAAATTTAAGTAGTGAAATTGGACGTATTTGAAAACATACTCCAACATATCAATATGTCCACCATTAAGTTGACATCCTAAAATAGTAATCAATAACATAATCTCTTACCCTTAAGACTAAAAACGTGTTTCCGTTCTAGCGACTGCCTCAAATCTATAGACTACAAAAAAGTGATTTTCTTCAACTACTTACTTGTAACTGCGAAATGACACTATACAAAGGTTGGATCGAAGAGAGATTACATTGAAGTTTATAAACGCTGATTAACTCAGCAGGTGATAAGCACTGTCCTCCAGCCAAAATTTATCAAACTAACTGACTTACTGTTTAACCAAGGATCAGCTGGGTTTATCACACATGTAACAAGATTACATTCCCCAGGAAATTTTACAGACTTTTTACTGACACATTTTACTATCATGGAGTTCTTTCTTTCGTTATTACCATCCTGTTCTTCTACAAGAGCGGAACAAACAGATTTGGAACCTATATTCATGGGAACACAGGGTTTGTTTATGTAATGTGAAATAATATATATCTTAAAATGAATTCTAAAAAATATTAATCAGGATTTATACGTATAGTTTATATGATATGTAATATTCATAATGCCGTACTAAAACATATCTTGATCCATTTAAAAGATATTAGTAGGAAGATTATAACTCAAAAAGTAATGATAAAATAAAATTATCCTTAACTTGAACCAGAAAACATTTGGTGTCATGTCATTGTCTTGCTGCAGTCAGGAAGTGTATATGTTACTGAGAGTGCATAAGCGGAGTTCGTACAATATCCAACAACTAGGACAAATTACAAATGATATGACTACCCATACCATTCATATATATTGGTTGTTTGGATCATCACATTGATGTTTAGAACTTGAATTTATCAAACTCTTTGAGCGTTTGTGCATTCTGTTCGTGTTCCCTCGATATTTCTTTTAGACCACACCCGTTTTAAACAGAGATGGATGATGGCTAGCACTGAAATCCACGATGCTCATCAGATGGGTAAATCTCCATCTCAGCATTGACGTTCACTCCAAGACTTGAACGCAGTACCGTTGGCTTCAAATTCCACGTTGTTCACTTAGCTCTCGAGTTTATAATGTCACTATCTTGCACAGTCGTGTAACCAATCAGTGGAAAGATCCAGAAAAATAATATATATGAATTAAAACTCACCTTTATATACTTTATGCTACATTATGTATGAAATCGATGGCAGGACCTATGAGCTTTCATATACGAGTAACAATTACTAGATTAGTTTACAAGAACAACTAAACATCACTTTATACCTTAATTTTATCAATTGACATAATCTTCAATGAATGAATACTGAGTGAAGTTTACATAAGTGATTACAATAAAAATAACACTGTCCCTCTTACATTAAGGCGCACAGTCTTGCGTTTTCTGATGGAGGATTCAAACCATAGTCCATTGAGTGCTGATCGTCCGCTAGAAAACTGTTATGTCGACCGGATACTAATGCTCAAAATCAAAGAATTAGGGAAACTGTGCTATATATTTTTGGTTCTCTTTAAAATGACACGAAATTTAACACTGAGTAGAGAATTTATTCAAACTTTCTGGCTCCCCAGTTAGTTTTTCAAAAACATATCTTTTACTTTACTACTTATTTCTGATGAGTTGAGTTGCTACAATACGGAGAAAACAAATTAAACTATGTCCATTTATTAAAACAAACATATAGGTGGATCGAATATGTGAAATTCATTGTGAGCACTTATTGGGTGAAGGGCTGCAAATATACGACAAAAATTTAGTTTGCCAATTTAGTATCCTTGTAAGATACCGGGTCCTGACGGGTTACATCCACGACTGCTGTCATCTCTTGCAGACATTATTTCAAAACCGCTCGCGACACTCTTTAACATGTCCCTTTCACTCGCTCAACTACCTAGGTATTATAAAGATGCTATTGTCAGTCCTAAATTTAAAGATGGTCAGAGACACATCGTATCTAACTACCGGCCTGTCAGTCTGACTAGCATTGTCGTTAAGTTACTTGAAAAGATAATTCGGGTTAGGTTGCTAAGCCACATAGATTCACACAGTCTGTTAGCTCCTGAGCATCATGGATTTCGTGATAAGCGTTCATGCGTGACCAACTTACTTATCACGAGAGAGGATTGGACAGCAGCCTTAGATAAAGGTCTGTCTGTCGATGTTATATTCATAGATTTTAGCAAAGCATTTGACAAGGTTTCACACTTAGGTCTTATGCAGAAGCTCACAAGCTTCGAAATAATAGGTGCTGTACAGGAGTGGATAGGAAACTTTGTATGTGACCGCAGACAGAGAGTTAGGGTCAATGGGACGCTATCCGATTAGAAGCCGGTCAAAAGTGGTGTACCCCAAGGCACCATATTAGGCCCTCTGCTATTCCTTCTCTACGTAAATGAGTTACCGCTGTTGCTTAGGTCGTCGACATTATTATTTGCGGATGATGTCAAAATATGGAGAGCAATAAGAGGTGAGGCTGATCATCTGGATCTTCAAGCTGACTTAGACGATTTAGTTAGATGGGCTCGAGATTGGGGTTTAGAAATCAATTCTAGGAAGAGCGTGCTAATGCACATCGGCCACGGCAATAGTTACCATTATACTATTAATGGTAAACCTCTTCCATGCGTTCAAGAACATCAAGACTTAGGAGTAATAATAAGTCATGATTTAAAAACAACTACACACTGCAACGCAGCCGCTGTCAAAGGTTTTCGTGCGTTGTGGTCACTTCGCCGAGCGTTCAAATCCTTTGACGAGGAAATGTTTCGAATTTTATATCCCACCTATGTAAGACCACATTTAGAGTACTGTATTCAAGTAGCTAGCCCATGTCTGATAAAGGATACTACCTCACTTGAGCGTGTCCAGCGTGTGGGAACGAAATTAGTGAAGGGTCTTTCTAAACTCTCTTACGATGAGCGTTTAAAACGCCTAAACCTTTCCCCTTGTCGTATCGTAGGACTTGAGGTGACCTTATACTGGCATTTTGTATCTTTAATTATGATTTGGGTGTTAATATGTCTTATCTTTTTGCTCCCTCCAGCACTAATAATCTCCGAGGTCATAGCAAGAAGGTTCATAAACCACGATCTAATAAACTCAAGGTGGGATTCCGTTTTTCTCATCGAGTAGTCAATGATTGGAACGCTTTGCCCAATCAAGTGGTATTAGCCACATCAGTGAATATTTTCAAAGAGAAACTGGACCTTCACTGGAAGGCAACCTGTTAGGATTAACACAGGTTCACTAACCTACTATCCTTATTACTGAAAACTGAAGACTGAAGACTGCTTCATTTACAGCGTATAAATCGCATCCAGGATTAACCAGAAAGACTACATTCTAAGTATTTTAATCAGATTTAGTCAAAAATAGCAATAAAGTCAATCTATAGTAACATGATATGGAGTGACCATATATGATAATTAGGAGTATTTGAATTATGGCTCGTTATTTTACCAGAAAATTTACTTGCAGTTCTTCATAGTAATATATATATATATATATTGTCTCTTCCACCTTAATGTTACTAAGGCAATTAGAGGGGAAATCAAAGGTAAATGTATGGGAAGATCTACTCGGATTATGGGTACCGTGCAGGTTATGTTATAGTTAACAAGATCCTGGAGATGTACTCTGGTCTATGCTGAACCATGATGGGCAACTTACCAATCAACGATCTCAAATGAAAGAACGGAGGAAGAAATTACGCTTAATTCAGTTTCACTTACTTTGCTTTTGATAACTACATATTAGCATCACGTTTTTATAGGATAAGCAATATTTCACATCATAGAAATTCATCTTTATAAAAATGAGACATGGCCTATTGCAACGAAGCGTCGATAGAGAGAAAAACAGCCAATGATGTGCCAACAATTTCGGTAAAATATAGACCGTGATTACTAGTTTACAAACTACACAAATTATGAAGGAATACGAAAGTATACTCCCGTTATATTTCTGTTATACTTACTTCAAAGACGACAATGTTATGCAGTACGTTTAAATAGTAAGCGAACGAGAATATTTTTGTGAAATTCAGACTTACTAAGCTAAATATTTGGAACTTTACAGTTATGAAGAACTAAAGAACTAACAAGCCGTGCTTTGCAAAAACTTTAATTATAAAAATATTTCATCAGCATAAAAAACCAAGGATTTCACTTATTTTGAACAGACGAACGTACGGTTATAGTACCCTTTCCCAAGCATAACAATAATGCAGAAACTATTTGAAAAGCTACTTGTCTTACTTTGCTTTGCAGTTAATGCGGTAAAACGAATAACAGGAGAAATAGAGAAATAAATTAAGAATAATAATTCATCTCAGAAACTTTTAGTTTTTACTATCAATGACGAATCTTGCTGAATTTGCATTAATTTTATCAAAATGACTGATTTTTAAGTTGTAATCAAGCAATAATCATTTTATTGTTCAAATGGCCGTGGTTGGGATAGTGGAGGATATGGCTTATGTGGTGAACAATTTCCTGGAATAAATAGGCCCGTAAGTCTTAAACATTGATGCTGAACCCAATTTACTTACCTGGACATACCCTTGCTGTAGTCACTCATTCACGTATCCACACCAGATCATTCTGTAGCGGTAAGTAAACTTCTTCGACATTTGATGCTGACCGCACTAGTCCTAATGAGTACACCTTGCTGAAGATGCCTGGTCACGCATCCGCACCAGATCATGAGTGAATACGCCGTGCTTCACCTCTCCGACAACCGCTAGTCAGCTTAGATTAGTCACTTCTACATACACCGATCTTCCATCAAATATATGTTCAAAACTCTTGGTTTCTGACTTCAGATTCAACTGGGCTGCTACGTTTCGATTATGTAAGGTGTTACTGGCTGAGATAATGCCAAATTCTGAATACCTGTGGCACCTTCAATGTGTTAGTGGTACGCATCCCTCTCAACTACTATGCAGCCTATATCGAACGGTTTTAAGGGTGTCAACTGTCTTCTAAACATATTCCCTAATGTTTTAAAAGAATCTGAGGCACAGTTATTGTGTCTAACTAACTTAGATTTCTGATGGCCAACACGGGAGTGTGTCCACTCCTCTACGTCTTCATTCATACCAAGCCAGCAAAATCATTCACCCATGAGCATGATGGTTGCACGAACATCTAGATGACAAATCTCGTACAAGGCATCGAAGACGTTTCATCGACGATGTTTCGGCACTAATTGACGATCTCTGCCTGTAGATGTGTCACATAGTAGGCTTTCCCTGCCCGTTTAATACTTAGTTTTAGGGTTGTTGAAAATAACTCGTGCAGAAGATTAGTGTCTTCTTTCTGAAACTGAGAGTTTAACAAGGTCGATTTTTTGGAAATTTCGAGGAAGTCTAACGAGACAAACCGCTCGAAGCTACATTGTTGGCCCTAGAAATGTGTTGTGATCTGAAGTAAACTGCGAAATACAGTCCAGTTGTTGGGACTGTCGAGGGGAATACTTGTCTGAAAATGAGCTTAAAAAGAAGGTAAGAGGTTTGTGATCACTGAAAAGAGTAAATTCTTGACCTTCCACGGAGTGCTGAAAGTGTCATACAGCATAATACATGGCTAGGAGTTCCCTACTGAAAGTGCTATACCTCTATTCAGAGACTAGCAACCAAGAGTTCCAAAGGCTATCAGGTGTTGTTTACCCATTGTTGTACGAATCCTTGGATTGCCGAATCAGATGCGTCTACTGCGACACTTACTGGTGCCTGGGTTTCCTCGTATGCAAGCATAATTGCTTTGGAGACAGGTTTTTTAATTGTGAAGAATGGTTTTTTGTGATGTCGTCCGAATTGATGATTTTCGCATTTCCACGAATTTCAGCTGCTAAATTTCTGGCAAGGGACGCGCAGTTTAGCAGGAACCGTCCATAGAAACATTCTAGACCGTTGAATATGTGTATTTGCTCTTTGTGGTCGGTTCTGGGTAATCCAGAATGACTACCACTTTGCTTTTTAGAGGTCAGATGTGTTTAACATTGGTCCTGTTATCGTGATGTGATGTGTAACATTGCGGGTTACACATGGATCGACCATGTGCTTTAATGTGACCGTCTGTCAGAGTTTGTAGGAAGAATGCTAACTTGTGCTACAGTCTCGACGAGAAAGCGGACATTCTTCATCACATCAGTGATGTTTAACAGACGTCTGCTTATGTCGGAAATGATTTCCCTTGACGCGTACCGTCAAGTAAGTTTCCCAAAGGGTTTAGTGTCAAACGGTTCGCAGATTGAAGAACTGCATGGTTTTCTGCAATATCAGCAAGATTTTACATACTTATTTTGATACCAGTACCAATGAGATTTATCTGTCACTCGTGGCATAAAGACAAATCTTTGTCGTGATAAACTTCTTCGGGGAGTGAGACAGCGTCTGCAGTTATGTTAGATAATCAGATAACAATTAAAAAATATACTACATTATTTCGCGTTGTTTGCTGCTTTTCTTTTGTAGAATACACCTCGAAGTCAGGGGTGATGGTGATTTTCAGAATCTGGTCAGAAGATGTACTCGTCCCATCTACAGAGCTATTTTGAAATGAGAGAAGGAAGTTTTGATAGGCATAGCTGTCTCGACAGGCCATCGTCAAAGGTCTATTTATCAATGACCTCTCGCATTCGCTGCAACAATCCTGAAGCTGAGCCATATTCTGGACCGATGTTGTTGAAGAGTTTATCCAACATTCATCTATCGGTTAGAACCTCACGCTTAAGAATATTCCTTTATAGAGTTTCGTAAGGTTCCGAAACATCACTAGTAAATAAACTAGGTGTGATGTTGAAATCGCCCAGCGATGCCTTCACTACTGCGAGGAATTGTGCACGTTTATGAAGTGTATGGATTGATGTATCAGATAACGTCGTGCTTACTAATAAATATGCTACAAGTATTCAGGGATTTATACCGCCTTTACGCATAACACCTTTGCGATCGAAGTATGCTAACCCAGTCAAATCAGAAGTCATATGTGAAGAGGTTAGAAAATATACTTCGGAGGTTATCGAGAAGCGCTTATCTCAAGCATGGTATAAGTGTATAAATATGGTCTACTCCGTTAATACTATTATTATAACAACAGACTTAATTCTAAAAGTATAAATTTGTCATGATGCGACTGCCTAATCTATAAGATCTTACGTAGAAAGCACATCCCTGTCCACAATGACTCATCGTATCATAAAGATTTGCGATATGGTGTCTGGAGTTCCTAAAGGATACATTTAGGCTGAAGATTAAATAATATATTCAATGTGAAGGCATGTTATACAAAATAATCACGCCTGCAAGGCCGGGCCATGCCATTTCATTAAATTCAACCAATTCTCCTCATCTCTTCGTGTCAATTGATGAGTATAAATCTTTACAGTAATTACGTGCTTGGCTTCAAAGTTCATGTGGTTAGAGTCCAGTGCCACTACGTAGCCACTTGTGGTCTGACGTTGTAGAGTGATCGGGTGCTTTCATCTAGGTGAGTTCAATAAAACTGATACGTTCAGCATCAATGTCGAAGGTTTACAGAACGGTCCATTGGGATCTATTCAACGTTATATACTTTTGATCAGTATAATCGTAGATAAATTTAATTAAACTTGAACTATCTGACCGGTTATTGAACTTTGAGATGCGAATAATTACCACAGGTCATACTCTGATTATTGCTATCTAAAATCAAAACAAGCTATTTCTAAGACTGGATTAACTAGTGTTAGCTTTGTAACCTTAAAATCTAGATATCTAGCCCAGTTGCCCTAGTGTACAGTGATCCATATGTCAGATCAAGAGATCACGTGAAACTACGTGCTAAGCTAATCAATTTTATAGCTGAAAAGTTGATATGTTGGTGAACTCACACGTACTATCACGCAAGATAATCCTATCTATTCATCTAGAATTCTTGCCTTATAGATATTTATTTTATCAAGGACATCGGTGGTATACAGACATACAAGCGTATGAAACTATGATAATTAGAAGTATTTGAATTATAGTACAAACTAGGAATCCCAGAAATAACGCACTCGGATCAAGAAAGACCAGATAAACACGAACGAATGTACCGTATTCGGAATTCCAAATCCAGCACTCAGCAAGTACAAAGGAATCGTTAGTTCATACAAACACCACAGAAAAATTCTTTTGTTATCTAGACGAATACATTAAACACTGAATAGAAACTGCTGCTACTCTCCAGGAAAATGAACAATACACTTCATCTCATAGTGCTTTCCTCTGTCCTAAAAATTACCTGTCACCTCTAGTTCTGTATCATTTGTCGTAAACTTGGATTGTTTTACGGTGAATCGACTTGGACGACTGAATAGACTAGGATTACTAGGTGGAACTTCCTATAAATAGTTTTCGAATCATTTAACTGCTTTTTGTTGCTTTTTCTTCTGTTAATCCTGATGTCTCATTTAAACTCCTTTATTTTGGTCATGTGCAGAGCAACATGACCCATCAACTGATGCTTTGTTTGATGATCAGTCAACTCAAAACGATTATTGGTATATCTTCAAGAGCAGCAGGATTCCACTGTGATACGCTCAATACATATTCTTACAATAACAACACATTTCTGGCAGAGCATTTACATGCAATATTTTCAGGCATGGTTAATAGTATAAAAAAGGTTTTCAAGGTGGAATGATAGATCAGAAGACTTATAAAAGGCGATACTAATATGTCAGGATCGTTTTACGGAAGAATGGTTATAGAAATCTACTACCTAAGTATTTAACTAATGGAACAGTAGCACAGCAGACAAAAACATATATCGTGACTGGAGTATACAAATAAATTCGAGAGTGAACTACGGTGTAATTAATTATCCTTGACTTCCAAATCAGAACTTGTTAGCAAACACTTAGGCGATTGCAGCAAATTTATTCACTGTTACAACAAATAATGGAAACTGTGCCAACTAAAATTGTCCAGATCGCAACAATAAGAATAAACATCTTGCGTAATCTCGCAAGATTTCCCCACTGATTCCGAGCTTCAATATCTAGCTGTACACCTAGACACAACGCGAATTACGACTAGACAGAAAACAAAGAAACAAGGAACAATGGCTTGTGATATGTAAAGTTGTAGATTGGCTTCACGTATTGAAGGGAGATTCGACAAAAATGAGGGAAAATCTGTTCGTCTAAATCAAGTAAATGAAAAGAATGTGCCATACATAAAAACGCCAATAACTCTGTCGATTATTATGTGATTTTTC